CATCTAATATTATGATCATTAGCAACCTTAACTAGTTTTAGAGATCAGGTACGGAGATTAATCGTGTAAATGAAATGTATTAGTACCTCAAATACATCCTATCTAAGGTAATCTACATTACTTTATTTGTTTGATCAAAATCTAAGGCTTGGTTGTGTTTTTTAATTGTTAATCTTGTTTGTCTAAGATTCAAGAAAAACTCTTCTAAAAAAAAAGGTTCTTATCTTAATGAGATAAAACTAAACCGTTCTAGCGTCAAATAAAAAAACTACCTCTTTAATATTGAAAGTATGTTTTACGTATAAATTCATAATCCCTGATATTAAAAAAATAATAATTTTTTTGGATTTTTTTAAATATTGTCCAAGTTCTCGTGACTTTGATAAATTGATTATTAAAGCCAAAATGTATGCTAAATGTTTTTTAAAAAAAGTTTTCTTTGTTGTATGAAAATATGATGTGATTTTTTCTTTGAGAGACTTCATCATATGCATAAAAACCAAAATATTTTTAAAAGTTTTTTGATAAAAATCGGGTATTTTAATATAAGATTTGTATTTTTACAATGTAAAAATACAAATCAATAATAAGCAAAATTTAATAGAAAAATACATGGAAAAATTGCAAATTTTCAAAAATATATTTTTTTTAAAATTGAAACTGGGCCGAACTAGGCCCGATTATGTGAGGTGGGCCTGGTTCGGCCCAGCTACAAGGCTGGACTCAGCCCAACCACGTGGGCTGGGTTAATGTTCCAGCCCAAAACAAACAAAAGGGTGGATTGCTGGTTGATTAGTACTTAAAAGTGCATTTTTATCATGGTTTTATATCATCATTTTGCACTTGAAGTATCAATAACTCCTTAACTAAAATATGTTTTATAATAATGTATCTAATAATATAAGATACCTATAATTTATGGTAAATATCTATTTTTAATGCAGGCCTATCACATAAATGAAAGGATTGATTGATGACTTGAAGAACTTAAATTGCAAGGATAAACCGTTCTATCATCAAATAAAAAAGACTACATTTTTAATATCGGGAATATATTTTACATATAAATTCGTAATCTCAAATATTAAAAAAAAACAAAATAATTGTTTTGGATTTTTTGAAATATTGGTCAAGTTCTCATGACTTTAATAAACTGGTTATTAAAGCCAAAATGCATGCTAAAATATAATATATTTTTTTTTGAAGTTTTCTTTGTTGTATAAAAATATAATATGATTTTTTAGCTTTGTGAAATTTGGTCGTATACACAAAAAAAAATTCCCTTTTTTTATGTTTTCAAAATTTTGACAAAAACCAGGTATTTTAATACCGAATTTGCATCTTTATGATAAAAATATAGACTGATATCAATCAAAATGGCTTCGAAAAATCCTTGGAAAAATCACAATTTTCAAATATATATATATATATATATATATATATATGTAAAAAAAACACAAAAGAAAATGAAATGAACTACAAGCCCAGCCACAAAGCTGGACTCAGCCCAGCCGCGTGGGCTGGGCTGATGTTCCAGCCCACCGAAGAAACAAAAAAAAAAAGATTGGTTACTTTGCATGAGCACAGTAACCAAGTAATTAATTAGTTGGTTACTTGCGCAGCACAGTAACCAACTAATTATTTCTTCTTGCATGCAGAACGTGCATAGTGCATGTTCTACAAACAAGAAGATGACTAATGACCGGTGGCTATGGAGGGGAAGGGAATTTACCTGAGGTGATGATCTTGGATCGTTGAGCTGACGGTGGTGCAGACGATTGTTCTCGGTGGCCCAGCGGTGGCGGTTACTAAGAAGCCCGATAACAGCGACAGTTCTTCTTCTCCTTGGTGCAGAGACACCACGCCTGTGCTAGAGGAGTAGACGAAAACTTCACTGGTGAAGATGGTGGTCTCCCTTCCCCTGTGCTTTGCTTCCTCTTTATTTTTACTCTCTCTTTTGTTCTTTCTCCTTCTCTGTTTTGTTTCGGTTTCCCCTCTGTTGCTGTTGTTGGTAGCGTTGATGGTGGTGGTTCCAGGGGGGTGAGGCATGGTTCTTCTCTTTTTTCGTGCAGAGACCCTAGTCTCTGTTTTTCTTTTCCTCTTTTATTTTGGCTTTCTCTCCTTTGTTTCTCAAACAAATCTTCCCCTTCTTTTTCTTGTTCCCCTCTGTTTCGGTTTCTCTCTTCTCTACACTCGAAATCCTCCCTCCTCTGTTCTGCTCTCTTTCAGTTTCTTTTTTTTACCCCCTCCTTTTTCTCAGTGTTGCAGCAAGGAAGGGAGATGGTGGGAGGCTGACAGTGGCGCTGTTGTGGAGGTGGAAAAGAAACACAAAGGTGGTGCCCGGGGGTGAGGAACGATCCTTCTTCTTCTTTGTGCTGAAACCACCGGTCTCTATTCTTTTTTTCTCAACATATGCTTTCACTTTTTCTCCTCTGTATCTCAAAAAAAAATTCCATGTTTGGTTTCCCTTTTCCCTTTATTTTTTGTTCTTCCCCCAAAATCCCTCTCCATTGTTTTCTGTTTTCCCCTATTTTTTGTTCTTCCCCCAAAATCCCTCCCCATTGTTTTCTGTTTTCCCCCTATATTTATAGGCAGCCGGGGGAGAGGTTCATCATACCCTGGCCAACTGCAAGGCATGGTGGCGTAGAATGGCTCCTGTGCAGCCGTTCCAGGGCATGAGTTATATTAATGGTGGCAGGGTAAAAGGGATGGCTTTTGTCCGGGTTTTGTGGGCAAGTGGAAGGAGAAAGAGGAGAAGAATGACAGGAAAAAAGATTTAAAAATCTTCTTCTTACCTGTCTTTGCATGCACAGGGGAGAAGAAGCTGTTCAAAACGGCACCATGTAATTTTTAATTTTTATTTTTTTTAAAGAAAAGGAAAACAAATTTAGGAGTGATCCAAAAATGAGTTATGACAATAATTATATTCAAGACTTTTATTTATATTAAATTAGTTTGATTTTATGTAATTTAATTTTAGACTGGTTTGGTTAACTAACGAGGTTTAAGGTTCACAGTTATATGCGAAATAATACTAAGATATTGATTGTCATTCATTTATTACTGCACGACTTCATTCAAGTAACTAAACATGATTACAAATCATAAACTCGATAACCAACCCTCCTGCAATCGTTCCTAATCCCATCATCTTTTCCAGTAACATTGTGAAGAATTGAGACTGGTTGCCAGCGAAATGGTTCACCACTTTCGAAGTTCCTAGCATCAAATGGAGGAGTTGAAGGGCCGAAGGGAGGCATTGTCTCGTTGTTACCCAAATTGAGTCACAAACGCTCCTAGTATTCTGGCTTCCAACTGGTGAAGTCGCAGGCCTTTGGCTGAAAAGATGACAATGAGCCATGCCATGTATGCGTGCTCCTGAAATATAAGAATCAATACTATTTATTATTATTTTTGTATTAATTCAGTTGGATTTCATCACATCAGCTTAATTGGCCACTAAAACCTGCTTGAATCAAATTCAACTCAAATCACGATCTGAATTTCTAGTTTTTAAAGTCAATTTGCCGGACTGAGTGCTATTTTTTCTTGTTAGTTAGTTTATGTATATTATGATTATTTGTTTGATAGTTAGTTTATGTATATTATGATTATTTTTTTGAAATTTTAAAGTTAATAATCATATAAAATTTCAATAATTCTGAAATTTATAAAATTTAAAATAATAATTTTTAATAAATAAATTTAAGATCTCATCAATTAAATTATATCCTTCAAAATTATTTGAGCATTGTTGTTCATTTTATAAATGGAAGTGTAGGAAAAGATTTTCATGGTGTTTAAAATGTGTAATTTAACTAAAAAAATAATTTATTGATCTAGATTGACGCTTAATTTTATTTAAGAATTAAAAGAATATTATTTTAATAAAAAAAATAAAAAAAGTTAATGAAATAATGATCAAGGCAGAATAACTAAGCTAGTGAATTGCCCTAGATTTTTAATCGACTTAGCCAATTTTTCTCTCTTTAATTCATCCCCATCTAAATTTTAAATCAATCAAATCTCAGGTATACTTGCTAAACCGGTGCACAATTCACAAGTATGCTCCAAAGTACCCAAATGGTACCTCCACAGGCCATTTCCCATTATTTGATCTCCTTATTTCAATTAATTAATTTCTTTTTGATCAATCATCAATCAATTTCCTTAGTTTTGTTATCAATTTATTAACTAAGGATCTTTTTATAATACAAACAGAGGATCAACTGATCAAGTGACCAGGTTCCACCTCCACGTGCTCAAGGCCCCATAGGCCTTTTTACACTACTTTTCTTTTCCGCGTTTATTATTCAAAGGCATCGAACCCCGTGTCGCGGCCTATAACCGGTAAATGTCTTCTTCTCGTCCCATGTTGATAAAAGAGTAAATTATAAATTAGTCCCTCTATTTTTAAAAAAGAATTAAATAATTTTTCTAAGTTCTAAAAACCATTCTTCTTATACTTTCTTATCATCAATTTCTTTTCTTCTTGTAAGAAAAAAAGTTAAAATTAAAATGGATGAAAAAAATTAAGCTATAATTAAATTTGACAACATAAATACACAAAAGTTACTCATGTAAATCATATCAAAGAGCATAATTGGTTGGAGATCACAAGGTATTTAGTGTAAAATATTTAAATAAGATTTAGGTATTTTTTTATTTAGTGTTTTCTTTTAGTATTTATTATATTTTTATGTTTTAGAGCTATATTAATTTGTTATAACTAATTATTTATTGTTCTCATCTGCCAGAAAAAAAAATATTTTTATGGGAAGATACAATTAAAGAATTTCATTGCACCCCTTAAAAAAACAAAATAAATTTAAATAGAAAAAAAATAACAAATCACAAGTATATTTAAAAATACATGGACAAATCGATTACATTTCTAAACTAGAGGGGTTAATTTATAATTCCCTCCCATATAAATTATCAAACTCATATAATTACATAACTACCCCTTTGTGGATTCCCTAACACTCCCCTCATTTTTTATCTCTCTCCTCGGAAACGATCTCTCAGCTCTCTTTTTAAATGGCAGCAAAGCAAAAACTTCCTTCCTTTTAAAAACCCCCGTCTTTTTGTTTTTTCATTCGAAATCTTTCGCCTCGAGACGAAGAAAAAGAAGAAGAGATCGATTCAACTCGCCTTCTCAACTCGGTCTCTCTCCTTCTCTCAACCATTTTCGTGTCGCGATTCAGGTAACGGTTTTTGGTTTTTATTTTGTTTTTGAATTTTTCTCCTGTTTCGTTACCGAGAAAATCAGTGACTATAATTTGAGATCTACTAGGTTTTTGTTTTTGTTGTTGTTGACCACAGAAAAATAATTCGAAAAATTTTTGTAATTTTTTCTGTTTTGAATTCCCCAACCACAATTTTTTTGATTTGTTTATTTTTGGAAACCTTTATCTCTCTCTTTGATCTGCAACTTCTTTTTAGCAATTTGTGTCTATTCTTTTACATATTAGTATATAAATACACACAAATTTAACTAGCTTTTGAGTATTTTTTTCTTGTAATTTTAGCTAATTGTCACGTAATTTCTTATTTAGAAAGTATGATTTGGCTAGCTTAATTGTTTCTGTTTGGTGTTATCATGCTATTTAATTGTGTTGCTCACTTTTTAAGTTAATTTTTCTGATAAATGCTGGTTTTAGGGTTTATGTTGCTCTCAAGTGTTCGTCAAAATTAAGGGCGTAGTCTCATGCTTAGTGAAATCTGAGATTCTATGAAAAGGACTAGGTCAAGGCAGGGCGTGGTCTCTTGTTTAGTGAAAATCTGAGGTTCTATGAAAAGGACTAGGTCAAGGCAGTATAAATTTGCTTAAAGCCTTTTGTTGTAGTATCTTGAGGCGTGCACAAATTTTGTGTGCAATTGGTTGTTGGATGAATTTAATCTGATTGGTGATTGCTTCCAGTAGCCTTGTTGGTCTTCGGATTGGATACCTGTTAGTAATTATTATTAGTATTGTCCCTTGAATAATTAGTTTGCGTTCTGGTTTTAATCATTTGGCAGCTTTTACTTCAGCTGTGAGCTGCACTTCTTCGGTCTTAGACTGTTGATTGCCAGCTAGGCTGCTATACTCCAGTAATGCCCTATTGGTTGTGAAGGACAGACAATTTTAGCTGCAAGTATTATTTATATTTTTATTTGTATCTGATGCATTTCCATGACATCATCCATTGTATCAATCAATGAATCTATATGTACTTGTTATTTAAAATTCCAAAGTACAAGGTTCTTGTTTTTTATTTTTTCAACTGTTTGGATAGAGTGCACTGATGATTTGTGCTCCGCAGAAAATGTCTCGAGCAGAGGACTTATGGGAGCGGTTAGTAAGGGCTGTGTTAAGGAGGGAAAGAACTGGGACTGATGCACTTGGTCGGCCTGTTGGTGGTATTGCTGGATATGTTCCGTCATCGCTTACTAATAATAGGGATATAGATGAAATTTTGAGAGCAGCAGATGAAATTCAAGATGTAAATCCAGCTGTGTCTAGAATTCGTATGTATCTTATTTTCTTTCGTTTATGTCACTCTTATTTTGCATGTTTACACCATCTAACCTAGGGTATTTATGCAAATCTCTTATTGAGAGTGTGAATCATTTTAGCTTAAGTTGATCAGACTTGCTTACATTCTAGCACAACTCAATGCAAAAAAAAAAGAAAAAAAAAAGAAAAAAGAAAGAAAGAAAAGATTTTGGATGAAGAAACTTTTGAACATGAACAATCTAGTCTATCATGATGTAAAATCTGAAATTTTAAGTTTAAGAAAAAAAATTACAAAGTTCATAAACAAATAAGCTGATACTTCAAATCAATTAATTATCAATGTCCCATGCATATGGAATATCTTGCATTTCCTATTCAAGACATAATAATCCAGGCAATTTAGCAAACCACAAGTAATTAAAATAATAAGCTTTGAGGTAAGTCGTCAAGCAAATATCAAACCCTTGTAAACATGACAAAGAGGAGTTTCTATGTTTTGCTTGAATGACTTATATTCTGCTGTTGATTCTGTTTTCTATTGATGATATGCCCCATATAATCAGCAGAAGTTTTGTGCGCTTGAAACTACTGTATTTTTTGTAATAATTATTATTATACCTGCAGTATGTGAACATGCTTATTCACTTGCACAAAATCTGGATCCTAATAGTGAAGGAAGAGGTGTTCTACAATTCAAGACTGGTTTGATGTCTGTTATCAAGGTATAGCTCTTGTGTATGAAGACTTTTGGTCATGTTTACATGTAGAAGATTTTTCAGTTTTGTAGAAAAAAATTCAGGAAAATACAGTATTACCAGAAGATAGATTTCCAGATAAATGATGAACGCTATTTTGTAGACGTGCTGAGAAGTTTTTAAATTTGTCTTCTCTTTTCATTATCTATAATAATGATAATTGTACATTCAGGTATTATTTTGATTGGTAGTTTATAATGTTATAGTTATGTTGTTCTTTAGATACCTTAACAATTATAATATGTTTGATGCTATTCAATAGCTACTTGATAGTTATTATAGATGTGATGTGTTTATATATATATATATATATGTCTGCTAATATCATGTGCCTTCTTTGTCCTTTTGAGAAAATTTTAGCAAAAGCTGGCAAAAAGGGAGGGTGGAACCATAGATAGAAGCCAGGATATTGCTCAGCTGCAAGAGTTTTACAAATCCTACAGAGAGAACAACAATGTAGACAAGCTACGAGAAGAAGAAATGCAGTTGAGGCAATCTGGTGCTTTTACTGGAATCCTTGGCGAGTATGTTCCTAAAATAAGAAAGAATTCATTAAAAAATTGAGTCGAACATTGCCTTTAAACAGCAGAATGCCTTCAATGTCATCCACAATAGTTTGGCTTTCCTTTTATTTTTCTTTTCTTCTCTTTGTCTACACCTCTCTCCCTCTGTTTATTTTCTCTGCTTCTTTGCCAATTTTTAACATCATTAATTTCATGGAATAGGTACCATAGACATGGTTTGTATTTAAACACTGCTTCTGATTCATAAATGGTTTTTTGTGTCATTTCTTTAGGTTTAATCAGCATTCATGATATAGCTTTAGTTTCTGTGAATATAAACCTAGATGAGAAGGGGCAGATTTTTATAGTTCTCCAATATGTAATAGTAAGCCCTTGTACTTGGGAGCTTATATGAAGAATTTAACTAGTGATGCTTGATACAGCTGACCCCTATTAGTTTGGAATTGAGGCTTTGTTGTTCATGCTTGGTATTCATTAGAATTGCTGAATGAGTTAGGAATGCATTTTTAGTTATATTCTCCACTCAATTCTGGAGGTATCCACTTCATATGCTGTATCTCAGAATGCTCGCCTTTGAGTTTGGACAAACTCTGATCCCTCCCTCCTCCCCAAGAAACCAAAAAAAGTGCCCCATCAAAATGGATAAGCCCTGTTGCTGAAATTATCTCAGGTGGAACTGTAGCTCTGCTAATTAATTTGCTGGCTTAATTAATTCATTAGCTCCATTTTCTTGTGTTTCTGGTAGTCCATAAATTTAGTTTTTGCTACATGCATGTGCACTTTGTTGCCTACTTTGGAACTATTTATGATTTCTCTTGTTTCACCATGGCATGCTTGGTTTTGATTTGTCAATCCAGGTTGGAGCGGAAGACAGTGAAGAGAAAAAGAGTTTTTGCAACTCTGAAAGTTTTAGGATCTGTACTTGGGCAACTAACAGATGAAGTTCCCGAAGAGGTTCAATCTATAGTCTTTTCAAACATAATTAACATAATTCTCTTCATGGGTGCTCATACATTAATTTTGCAATTACTTATCCTGTGGACTATATCAGGATTATTTTGAGAATTGGAACTTCTATGTTTCTTTCAAGCCACAATTTTTTTTCTTTTCATTCTCTCTCTTTGAAAAGTTAAAATTGCATGCATATGCAACTTCTTTACTCTCTTCTTCCAGGTTGATTTTATTTATTTCCTGTGTCATTTCAACATGTTATGCAATATGTGCTTCGATCTACTTCTCTACTCTCCTGCCTACCATAGTCCCTATGCTATGTTTTTGGTAGAGCTTGGTGCTTCTAAGCCATCTCAGAAATCCAGATAATTCATCCATTGTGGTATTATCTGTGACATGCTCTGCTTTTGTGAAGTTGTATCCATGTTTGCACTAATTGAAGACATGGGAGGAAACTGCAGCATGAGAATATAATTTTGCTTTTCATTCCTGCTCTTTTACTTATTCGTGAAAAGATATTCTTAATGCAACCAACTCTCCACCCCTCCCCTTTTTATGGATACCAATGAATTCTATCATTGATATATGCCTTTGTAAAGGTCGTTGGTAATACTTATTTGTGTCTACTGTCAATTAATACGCATGTTGTATTTTGTGCAGCTTAAGCGAATGATTGAATCCGATGCCACCATGACTGAGGACCTTATTGCTTATAACATCATTCCACTGGATGGCCAAACTATGACAAATGCTATTGTTACTTTCCCTGAGGTCATCTAGTTTTATTATTATCATATGTTCATAATTTGTTAATTGTATAATTTTTCACTCAACATCATTCAAGTGCAGGTACGAGCAGCAGTAACAGCTTTGAAGTATTTCCAGGGCCTGCCGCAATTACCAGATGGTTTTCGTATTCCTGCTACAAGAAGTCTTGATATGCTTGATTTTCTGCACTACATTTTTGGGTTTCAGGTTTGTAATCCTGTGATTATGTGCTGTATGAGGCTATTTCACTTGTGCACTTCTGTAGTTTTTCTTTGTTTTCTCTTGATTCATGCTTCTAAAGGTAGAAATCCACCAATGAAGTGTCAAGCTTGGAGATTGTATGCTTATTTAGAAGCAGAAATTTTATTTGGATGTCTTTTGGATTTGCAATATCTGCAGTTAGTTATTTCTTGATGTTGTATTTGGATGTGATCAGAGCCTTATTATATTTTGATGTTTTTGGGGTTCTTACCTGGCTACTACATTTTAATCGGGTAATAATCTGGTTTGGTTGGAATTCTCACTCCTCATTGGTTCACTTAGAATGCAAAGGGAGTTTTAAAACTTGAATTTCGTTCATGAAATAGTAAATTGGGTCTTTGTTCTTTTATTTGGCCCTACCATAATCAATTTTCAGTTGATTCAAAATACACTATAAATGATATGAACGACCATTCTCCCATCTATTTGATCAACAAGGATATCAAAACACCACGTCATTGTCTTCATTAAGTTCATTAACTGAAAAAGGAGCAAGTTAATTGATTCATAAGGGGAGATAGGCTCTAGGAATATGACTCGTTTAGAGAGGAAAATTAAAAGAAGGAATTGTGGGTTTTTAAACTGGATTCATATTTTTTGGATGCTGAGAATTCTGTGCTTTGCCCAGCCTCCTATATTTATCTTGCATTCAGAATAGGTGAAAAATTATATATGTTTAGGGGGGGGGGGTGGTTCAATTCAAAATCACGCTTCTCTACACTACTTTTGCATTCACTTCTTCTAGAGTGTTATGGACTTTTTCTAAGAAATTATTTGGAATAATTTGTTTCTTGCTTCTCATTTGTGAACTTTATGGCTGTCAGAAAGACAATGTTTCAAACCAGCGGGAACATGTAGTTCACCTCCTTGCCAATGAACAATCTCGACTTGGTATCCCTGATGCAACCGAATCGGTATGTCTCACATGTTTCTGTTTCATATTTGGGTTAATTTTTGTTTTGGAATTTTAGGATGCTATCCCAAGGTAAATATGAATTTTCCATATCAGATCTTTTTATTTAATTTCCGTTAATTAAATTGCTTCACATGCAAGTATTTGTAGTTTAAATTTATAGTTCAAAGATTTTAAGTTTTGTGAGATTGTTTGGAACTAATGCTGTTTTAGTGTTTACATTTGGCATTGAGTGATTTGATTTTCAGTTTGTTATTTTAATTTAACCTGGACTCTTTGTTCATCTTTTTTGCAAGTACCTTCATAGTGGCTTTTATCTTCTTAGCCTGCTCTATAGTCACACAACCTAGCACATGTTATTTGTGGCTTTTATCTTCTTAGCGTGCTCTATAGTCACACAACCTAGCACATGTTATTTGTTGCTTTTAATTTTTTAACACCTGCCCAACAAGGAAAGGATTAAAACTTTGCTTCAATCAATTGCCTTATAGGAAGTTACTAGCTATATTTAAAGGTTCCTTTGCATGGCGGTGGTCAAAATTTGTCAAACAAGTATACCGAAGATAAAGAAATGCTGAAATTTAAAAAAGTATAACTTTGAAATGTGAATTTAGTGTTGTCAAAAGTGAAAGGTGCCCTAAGGCGCCAATGGTGCTAAACAGCTGAGGTGTCATAGGCCCACTCGAACAAAATGAGGCACTATACTAAAATAAAATAATCAAATTTAAAAGCAAAATATCATATTATAGAAGCCATATCAATGTTTCACTAACTGTTAATTAAGTCTATAACTTTGAAAGATAAAAGAGGATACTAGATAATTTAAATGAGCAAGTAGATTAAATAAGTCTTAAAGATAGATGGAGTTATTTAAGGTAACTGTTCAACCTTTATCAACTTCCAAGACATCGTCATCCATGCCTTTCTCTCCTTTACTAAAGTCCTCAATTTCCATTTCATTTGAATCGTGATCTATTAAGCCATAATGTATTTCTTTAGAATTGACGCTTCTATGCTTAACTAGTTGTACAAGTCTAAAAGGAAATAAATTGATAACCATAGAAGAAATTTTAAAAAATAAAATCAAATTGAAAATCTGGAAGCATAATATAGCTTAAATATTTATAAATGACGATAGATAAAGAGAAGAATAGTGTGGTGAAAGTTAGAATAGATAAAATAAAAGAAGAAATAAACAAAAGAAGATGAATAAAATAATAGTAAAGCATGGAGGTTAGCTGGTTCCATTAAATGTCTCTGCTGTTGAACGGAAAAAGGTGGTCCTCACTTGCTACATGTCAATCCCAGTGACAGTTCTTGGTGAATCTCTTCCTTTTGTTTCTTTTTATAATTTTTAAAAGATAAGAGCCTTTGGTTTCACAATTATACCCTTTAAATAACTATGGGTGGGTGGATAGAAGAATAAGATTAATACAGTAAAAAATGAGGAAAGAAAAGACAAATTATTGCCTAGGCAGCGCCTCAAGTCCTAGCAACTCTTCTCCAGGCGAGCACCTATTAAATCATGTTGCTTGGTGGCTCTCTCCTCATCTAGGGTGCCCTAGCTTTTGTGAAGTAATGTTTTGACAACACTGGTTGTGATTGCCATTATACACTTGTTTGTATGCCGCTATTAGCATGAATCATATAAATCTTCCAGTATTTTGTGGTTGATGCTCATTTTCCATTTTCTAATAGTTTGGCCATAATAGACGATAACAATTCTTTCAACAAAATAAAGGAACTTGCTTACTTTGTTCTATTCTAATTTATCTGATTAGATGGGGCTGTACAAATACTTCAATTGGTATAGGTAAATATATTTCTATTTGAATTTTATAGATAAATATTCCAAGTAAATATGTGAATTACCTAATTGCATGTTGTTATAGCCAAAATTAGTGTAGAGGACTGGAATTTCTTGGTGTTATTAGTTTTCATCATCATCTCATTGGGTTTTAGATCCTTGTGAATAATAGTCCCTCCCTTGATGGACATGCTCGCATTAGGCTGAGTTGAAGACCCCAGAGTCTGATAGTTTTGGGTGTGATTTGATGTGGGACAAAAAGAGATTTAATGCTAAAGAAGAAAGAAAAGATGAAACTAAGAAGAAAAAGCCAAAGAATAGAAGAATGAGGCTGGAAAAGTTTACAACTTTACAAATTTTTATTTAATTCATCAAAATTGTCTAACATTTAGAAAAATATGATATAAATACTAAAATCTTAACTAGAATGAACAATTGGGCTTATAGCCCACTAAATAAAATATCTAACAATGATTAAATCAAGCCCATCAAATAAAATCCAATAAATCAAGGGTTGAACTATCCTCTGTCATCGTAGATCATATAGACATGTAAACAATGTCTCGGGTCTGATGTTTCCATCAACTCTCTCAAGTATAGTTCAAGGCGGCTGTGATAACTCTTTCAAAGATAAGCATTAAGCTACTATGATGTCTCTTTGGTAATCCAAATACATTCTGAATCTGGTCCCTAAGCTCATAAATTGAGATTTGCTAAACTTTACCATCCCTGTTAAAAACAACTTGTGCATTCAAAATAGTATTAACATGTTGCTTTTATGCCAATGATATTGAAATGGAGCATCAGGGATAGGTCGTGTTTTATATATAACAAGGTTCTTCATGCCAAAATTAGAGCTAATATCAAAGTTTAATGACAGTTTAATGATATAACTACTTGATGCAATCATTTGCAAAACTTTGAATGGTCTAATGCTACTCACTTGCAATTTATGACTGGTTTTCAAAGGATACTGTTCAAGTTTAATATGTATCATGAAATAATCTCCAAGTACATCATGATAATTATGAAAATCAGCTTGAAATGTGTATCGTTAGTTACTTGCTTGAATGTCTTATGAACTCTACATGCAAAAGACTCAGCTAAATCAGACATTTTAGAGTGAGGAGACAAAGGAGGAATATCTACTGGCATCCTAGGTTTGTGACCTTGAACCTTACACGACTGAGAGTGTGGAATGAGACACACCTTTGAAACCTGGATGGATATATATTGAACATAACCTAGTGAATCGGGGTCATCCTTATCCTCTCCTTATCATGAATAAAGAGTAAGGATTTAGGGACTTAATAGATTGCTTAAGACTTATGACATGTTGGATGTCAAGCATCGAGGACAAAGCATTAGGGAGCTTAAGAGGTTGTTCAAAATCTTTGAAATGCTGGATGTCAAGCATAGGGGTGAAGAATCATGAAGCTCAGAATGCTGCTTAAAATCTATGACAAGTTGGGTATCAAGCACAAAGGTTGAGAAATTAGTGAACTTAGAATAATAACTATCTTGAAACTCTCCTAACATTGCACTTATCTTTTCAGGTAACCTTATGAGAGTCTCCATAAACTTTTACAAATAAAGGAGACAACTGATTTTTCATGAACCTCCTATGCGAACTCTTTTGGACATTTTATGTTAGCTATATTTACCTCCTTTGGTAGTTCCATTAAATTGTTTCTTGAAATTTCGTTTGCAACTAAACCAGGCATAATATGTTGTTCCTTAACCTCATTTTCAAACTCATTGAGGCTCATTGTATTAAGTTCTTGTTTGTTCACATCCTTTTTTTTTTTTGTTATTATTGCTAGGTCTTGGTGGTAATTCAATGAGTTTGATCTTTCTACCTTTAAAAGCGAAAAAACATGAATTTGATCGACTAAAAATGATGACGTCTAAATCATATATCCATTACCTCTCTAAAATGACATGTTCTATATCTTTTGAAATGACATCACTCCAAATCTCATCATGATAGTCTAGGAATTTGATAGGGAACAAATATCTCTCTTTGACTGCTATAGAGGTATTATAACCTATGACACATATATGGTTTAGGATGGGGAACACATTTTAAGCCTAAGTGAGCTACAATATTTGAAGATACTGCATCGATACAACTTCCGTTATCAATGATAATCTTACATTCTTTATCCCCACACTTGATATAGGTGTGAAAGATAGTAGTTCTTCAATCTTCAGCTCTCTCGGGTTGTTTTAAGGCATATCTAGCTACCCAACCTAGTTGTCTCAAACTCTACAATGTTTTGTTCATGATTGGCTTTAAAGATATCACTCAAGGTCGAATCCATGATAGTTGTAAACTTAAAGTTGGATACTAGATGAGTATTTACAAATGCATGCAACACTAACATAAAAATGAAATTGACATCACATACGATTCTTGCAAGTGAAGTCACAATACAAAAAATAATAGTAATTCCATTTTTTTTTATTGTGGAGAGTAACAAAGAACAAAATACACCAATAAAATTTTAAGCATGCATTGATAGACCTTTAAGTGTAAATAATTAATCAAACATATTGTCACAAGCAAGGACTCACAATTATCAAAGAGGACTAGATGCTAGATATCAATGATGAAAGAGGTTGATGAGAAAAAAGTAACAGATAAAAATGTAAGGTGAGATATTTTTTTAGGCACAAAAAATAATATTAACGACAACTTTAAATAACAAGTGTAAAACCAGAAAAGTAAAACTAAACAAATCAAAAGGTGGAGAAACCATTGAATTTGATCGTAGATGGACCTTCAAATCACATTGTTGTTGGTGATGTAGTATCTTGGATGCAATGTTGTATTGGATGATGTGATCTCCTTTTGCTACCGTAAGTATTTTTTTTACCTTGACTTTTTTTTTTGACTTTTTTTTATCAATTTGCTTTTTTTTTAATTTCAACTTTTCACCTTTTTTTTCCTTCAACTTTTCACTTTTTTTTTGGGATTTTCTCAATTGTTTTTTTAAAAATCAATATAAAAGAAAATAAAAGTGTAGTAAGACAAGAAATGGAAAATTTGCGGAAACTTGACCTATACAATTCCTTTATTCTTCACGTCTATCTTAAGATCTTACTAGTGGACACATGCTATGGTTCAAGGTGGAAAACCTGTTGATCTTTGCTGGCTAATGGGTTCTGCCGTGCATGAAAGTTAAGTTTTTGGCTCTTTTTGGTTTTGATGCTAGTTTGATGGGATGTTGAGGTGAAATAAATCATTGGGACTTTGGAGACGATGGTTGTGACAGTGGGTCTTCATCTACCGTGATGGTGCTGAATCCAACGTGTGGGTGGCTTTTGTTGTTGTATTGATTTGATTTGTAGGGACTTGGCCTTGTTGATGTTTGGTTGGGTCTTGTTTGCTAAAGTGGCTGGATTTGTGGAGGGTTTGTTGAAGTGGCAAGAAGAGTGGAATAGGGCTTGTGTGGTGGATGAGGCAGGTTGTGGTGATGGTTGTGGCTGTGCGGCTGGTTAAGTTAGGTAGAGAAGATGAATAGTAGCTTTTTTTTTTTAGACTTCTACATTTTTTGTTATTTGATGAAAGCTTCCCATGAAATTTAGAGTTTACGAACTATATTGAATGTCAAGAATTCTAACAAGTGTATAGATCGTTTAATTGTGAGAACAATTAAAAAATCATGCACTAATACCAAAGCTATTGTGGCACTAGAAGAGATTTAGAGCTAAAAAAGAAAGAAAACAAGAAGCTAAGAAGAAGAAGCCAAAGAAAAAGAAGAAAAAGCCTAAAAAGAGAAGAATAGAGTTGAAAAAGTTTGCAATCTTTATTCAATTAATTAAAACTGTCTAACTTTTAGCAAAATAAGATTTAAATAATAAAACCCTAACTAGAAAAAATAATTGGGTTTATAGCCCACCAAATAAAATATCTAATAATGACTAAATTAAGCCCAACAAATAAACTCAAATAATCCCAAATAAATCCAATAATGTAAGGGTTGGACTATCTTTTGTCATCATAAATCATACGGACATGTCTCGGGTTGATGTCCCCATCATGATTACTCTGAACTAATCTCTTTGTGAATGGTAGGTTGATAACTATATGGATGTGGATTATTTTGGTTTATGTTGAATTTATTTGGATTCCCATTCCATAACGCAATAAATTGAGTAAATCTGAACGGGTTTATGTGATTGCATGATTAAAGCTAAAGGCTGTTGGCTCTCAAAAGAGTAGTGGCTTAGCAACAGTCCATAAATGCATGCAATTGAGAGATCCAATTATACACTTGTGCCAGTGCATGTTACAGCTCCATTGATAGCTGTTTTTCAAACCATTTTAGAAAGCACTCCTACACAAACATTCATGCTTAAAGCCATCCATGTGTCTTGTATTTTGTTTATTGTGATCTATTGATGAATTGAAGAGAATATGTAAAAAGAGAAAGATTGTTTGACTACCTTATGTGTGCTTCATTAGGTTTGGCCTTTAACTTGTGGAATATATTATTTTTTCTATTCTTCAATATGGATAATGATTTTATTAGGCCATGTAACTGAAGAACATGACCAGATTCCAACAATTTATACTAATGTGAATCTTGGGCCTTGATTTAGTTGATGTAAAAAGCTCTGAACAATTTTGTCTTGATGCAAACTTTTTTTTCATAAGATGTCATCAAATCACTATTTGTTAATTGTCCCTCGGTTTGTTCAGAAATTGGATGAGGCTGCTGTGCATAAGGTATTCTTGAAGTCACTCGATAATTACATTAAATGGTGCAGCTACCTGTGCATTCAACCAGTGTGGAGCAAGTATGGAATTTTAACCTCTTTCATTCTCGTTTGTGTTAATTATTGAATTTTAATTCATGAATGATAATGTTTGAAACTTATGCCAATAAAATGTTCTGTGCAGTTTCGAAGATTTAAGCAAGGAAAAGAAGTTGCTCTTTGTTTCCCTGTACTTCCTAATATGGGGCGAAGCTGCTAATGTTAGATTTCTTCCAGAATGCCTGTGCTACATATTTCATCATGTAAGTGAATCTTGGAATACGCTATGAATGGATTAGTTTTTATCTTCTCTCTTTTCAGAGAAGGAACATTACTAATAAGATTGGTAAATGGCTTATTTTGGACCAATCAACAAGTGTAGATTTCTGCACTTGTATTTTCTTTTCCTACTGGATTTTTTTTTAAATTTCTCATTTGTTGAAGTTTGGCCTGAGCCTCAAATTGAGATGTCTTTTGATATTCTTGATCTTATTTATTTATTCTGCTTCTTAAAACCTTTGCTAGTGGATTCAAATCATTGGTTTGAAGTGCTGTAACTGATAAAAATGAAAAACTATAATAAAAAACTGCTGCAACAATTTTTCTACTGACCTTATTCCGCTAACTTTAAACTTGATAATTAGATGGTCAGGGAAATGGATGGGATATTGAGGCAGCAAATTGCTCAGCCAGCAACAAGCTGTGATTCCAATTCTGAGAATGGCGTATCATTCCTTGATCAAGTTATTGCTCCTTTGTATGATGTTGTTGCAGCGGTGAGTGCACATGTTTGCCACTTCTTTCCATAATTCCTTTACATTTAATTGATAAGGGACAATCACGATCCAGCTACTATCCTTCTTTCTGGATGTTGCTCTCGTTCACTTGGCTCATGCTGTTAACTTCTTTGTTGTGGTGTTTTATTTTTATATTTATGTTCTTTTTAAGTGCTTTAAATCGAAACAAAGTTTGTTGATGTAACATGGTAAATGTGGCATGAATAGTTGCATTAGAAAAATAGGAATATAGAAATGAGTCAAGTGAGGTCATGATTTGGATATGGATGGGCAAGACTGCATGAGATGCTCTCTTTTTAGCTCATGTCTATGGAATTAATAGATTGATTGCATTGCCGTAGAAAAATATGAAAATAAAAATGAGTTTAGTGAGTGCATGGTTTGATAAGTCTAGAATGGAGTTTCGCAGCAGTTCCATAACAATTTATAACTGTTTGTGTATATTAATTCCAAGTACACCTAATAGTAACTTTTCTTTTCCCCCCTCGTACAGTGGCAAGCACTACTAATGTTGAAAAGTTTCTAAATCACATCTTTTAAGCCATGTTAATGATCGGTTATCTTTCTCTCAGCTAGGAGGCACACATTTTTCTTCTTTTGTTAACAGATGAAGGAATGGCAAGGAAAAAAGGTCAATGTGGAGGACTATTTTTGGAAAATGGTCCTGTGAATTATAATACTGCTTATGTTTTTCTTTCCAGAGAGAACTGGCACCTAAGCCTAGTGCTGGAGTAGTTTTGTTGTCATGCATGAATAATACTTAAAACTTTGGGAGCAATTTTTCACCAATAGAGCACACATAACATCATTTCTATGTTATCTCATGCATTGGTGCAAAGTTTGTTGCTTTGGGACTGACTTGTTCTATTGTGATTCCATTATAATTTAGGCTGGTCATTGTTATTTTTACTTGCGGTCATTTCTGTACATGCATCTCTTCTGGGGATGTTATCTTGTCATAAACCATGCCAATTTCTTCTCTGCTGTCCTATGCATTGTGGTTTTGCTTAAGATTTGACTTCCCTGCCACTACACCTAGGAAGCAGGAAACAATGTTAATGGACGAGCACCTCATTCCTCTTGGAGAAATTACGATGATTTTAATGAGTATTTTTGGTAAGTCTCCTTTGATTTGTCAGTCTTTTCTCACTTAACTTGGGGTCATGTTGAATGGATGGAATGAAGAATTCAGATTCATTTTCCCAATTCATGCAATGGAAACAATAAAACAAAAAAAAATAGAGCTTCTATTCATTTAAAACTTAAATATTGGTGAATTAATGTAAATGAACGCATGGAATTTAGTCTTTCTTGTTATTCATCAGTGGAGTAGCTAAACTGTGCAGCTGTGAAATTTATGAAGTATCCATGCTCTTTATTTCTTTTGCAGCTATTTCATAGACATTAAAGAGAATTCTAATGTATTTAACTGTACTGAATTATTCAAATCAACTAAATTGAATTGGAAAATCCAATTCAATTCTGTTTGTGGTAAGAAAATGATTGTCTCTGACTTGGTTAGTTATAAATAGAGTAATATTCAGTTTGATCTGACTTGTGAAGGTTAAATTTTGATTTTGAGTAATAATTCAAACGTTATTTTTCTATAAACAACTTACGACAAAAATGAGTTAGGTTAGAAGTATATTTAGCAAAAAGGTACTCAAATCAACTGTTTTTGAAGAAAGGGGAGAGGATAAATTATGTAATCAATAAGTTAAAAAGTTAATTTTTAACTTTTGATTAAAGCAGTTTGAACTCGAATTTGTAACAATATTGATTTATGTCAAAAGTTATTTCTAACCAAATTTATTTATGACTTTTCTTTGAGTAAAAAATTAAAGCAACTCAAACCAATTTGCAAAAGTCATAGTAAATGGAACCTAAAACTATTTTTGTGTCAGATGGATGGCCATTGTTTTTCTCCTCATTCTTATCCATGTATTTCCATTTCCAGGTCACTTCATTGCTTTGAACTCAGTTGGCCGTGGCGCATGGCTTCATCCTTTTTCCAGAAACCAAAACCAAGGACAAAGGTTTGTAACATTTTTTTTATGCCCTTTATGCTTTCTGTTCCTTTTGGGAACATCTTTTAATAGTATCTGAAGACAGCAACGCCAGGAACTGAAGCATATACTGTGTATAATTGATTCTGGCTCTGTGGTTTTCTTGAAATGTAGTTACTGTCATTTGACAAAGTAAATATGTCATCCTGTTCACGTATAGAGTTAAATATTAAAGCCAGACTGTTTGGCTTAAATCATAGATTATATAGAGACAAGGTGGATTAAACAGAGCAGAGAAGGTTTTCTGGAAAACTTGTCATGTTGAGGTCATATATATATATATATCCACTTTTATAATCTCAACATGGCAAGCTTCCATCCTACACCCTTAATGCTCTGGTCAATCCTTATTACTTATATCCACTTTTGTTGGATGAGGGCTTGTGAAAGTATGGCTTTTCCTTCCTATAATGGCCAAACTGTATTCATTTATATTTGTAGATTGCTTGTGGTGGGTATTACATTGTGCTACAATGTATGATTAAGGCTTTAGGTTTGTAGACTGCTTGTGGTGGGTATTACATTGTGAATCACTATAAAGTATGTCTTTTGTCCTTACAGTATTTGCTTAAAACTGCTGGAAGTCAACGTAGGGGGAAAACTTCGTTTGTTGAGCACCGGACGTTCCTTCATCTTTACCATAGTTTCCACCGTCTGTGGATATTTCTTGTTATGATGTTTCAGGTTAGCATGTCAAAATCAAATTCTCATAGAAACTACTACCCTTCTCCTGCTGTGCATCTGAACAGCTTCTCTGTTCATTTTGTTTATTTTCTTGCCATGCATTTGAAAGGTCTTTTCCTTTGCCTTTTAGATATAATTTTTGTTTATTGCAAATATCTACACCAGCGACTCCCCTCTTCTTCATTGTTGTGAATATTTTTTACTATGCATTGATGAAGTCTCTACTCATTAATAACTTGTTAGCTTGACTAGAATGTAGCATTCTCATGGCTGCAAGCATTTCTTTTCTGCTTCCAGGGACTCACTGTCATTGCTTTTAATGATGGAAAATTTAACTCCAAGACACTGCGGGAAATTCTAAGTCTTGGTCCAACATTTGCTGTGATGAAGTTTATTGAAAGTATGGTTCTCTGACGCAAAAAATAATTTTCTCACTGTTATGCTGAACTAATTGTTAATTACTTACAACTGTGAATCATCACAGATAAGAAATATAACAATTTTTTATATTGCAATTTCACGAGTAATTTGATTTTTGATGTTCATACCTTTTGATTTAGGTGTGCTGGATGTTATAATGATGTATGGGGCTTATTCTACATCAAGACGTCTGGCTGTGACTCGAATATTTCTTCGTTTTGTGTGGTTTTCTTGTGCTTCTGTCTTCTTAAGCTTTCTCTATGTGTATGTTCTCTTAAGCAAGCATTTATACTTGATATCATTTTCTGCATGCTTGTCATATGTGAATAAGAAGCTACCTTTTATTCTTGTTGTTTTCTTCAAATACAGGAAAGCTCTCCAGGAAGAGAGTAAACAAAATTCAAATTCAGTTTTTTTCAGATTGTACATGATCGTTGTAGGCATCTATGCTGGTGTCCAGTTTTTTATTAGTTTCCTCATGCGAATACCAGCTTGCCACCGTATGACTAATCAGTGTGATCGGTGGCCATTTATTCGCTTCATAAAGTGGATGCGCCAGGTTTTTCTTTTACCTTTTCTTTTGGCCAAATTATTTCTTCTTTGTGCTTGATTTTCCTTTCATGTGCTGGATTATATTTTTTGGTCCATTGTCAAAATGGTTACTGTCCATTGTCCTTGGATAGTTTTTCTTTTTAATATTTTAGGTGTATTTTAAAATTTAAATGTTGATTTGTTGATTTTTTTTTGAAGGAACGCTATTATGTTGGGCGTGGCATGTATGAAAGGACTAGTGACTTCATTAAGTAATGTCTTCTACATCTCTGCTACTTTAACCTTCTCTCCACAAAATATTTTCATTCTCACATTGGACGTTTGCTTCTGTTATGTTAGATTTTTGTCTGTGTTTTTTCTTTTTTTTGTTTGCTTGCTGTTCTTGTACAATGATGATATAGGGATGATAATTTGTCCATAATTTGATTGGCTTAATCTTGTCAAAACTAGCTTCCTTCTTGCCCAAAAGCAGGGGAAAAACAAATACCGGACTGACCACCTCACTTTAATGTCCTTTTAACATTGTTTCAAATAATAGCAGTCATGATCTCTTCCATCATCTATACCAATAGCTTGAAGTGCAAATGCTCTGTTTTATGTTAATGGATTCATTTTGGGCTGCCTTTTGTGGCTTGACTGATTAGAATTGGCTCCTTAGATCTGTGATTGTGTAAAAAAGTCCAATATATACATTGTGGACATTTTGAAGAACAATTAAGAACTTACGAAAATCTAACATTTTCGCATAGAAGATGTTAAACATATCTTAGGCATTTTAAAAATTGAACAGCATTTCTCAATTGATTTACTAAAGAATAAATTTTAAATCCAAGGGATATAATTCATCTTCATTGTTTTTATCTAAATGCTTTCTAAATTTAAAGAAGATGAAATGACTTTTGAATCTTTAACAAGCAGGTACATGCTCTTTTGGTTGGTTGTTTTGAGCGGAAAGTTCTCATTTGCGTATTTCCTTCAGGTCAGTGAGATTTATATAACACCAGCCTTAATTTTGATGGAAGTTTCCTAAATTATATTTTAACCTTTTTTGCAGATCAAGCCCTTGGTGAAACCGACAAGGACTATTGTGAATATGACTGATAATCTGAAGTATTCTTGGCATGATCTTGTATCAAAAAGTAAGGTCGTTTGACAAAATTTTAAACTATAATTATGTTGTAAAATTTCTGTTTATTTTTTTTTCCCATTGTGTTATATATTTGCACCAGTATTTTGCTCCAAAATATATGTGATGTAATTTTGGTAACTATAATTGTATTCTGTTTTATATTTTTATAGAACTTGAGAAGCCATATTTTTGGAACTTTACAGTTTCTTTTCCAACTTCTTATGTTTAAAAGCATTTTTGCTAATAACCGGGTGGCATTTGGCAGAATTTTTTTATCACGTTATACTGTTTAAATGTTTCATTGTTGCCATGTTGTGGATTTGGTGATTTTTGCTAAAATGTCATTTTGATTCACTGTAGGTGTTTTGTAGCCTCCTTAAAATCGTAACATTTCAAAATTTTGCTGGATTTTTCCCAGCATTTCAATGCAAGTGTAGCCTCTGTGGTCTTGTTTGATGTTGCAACATTCTCTTTATTAATTTATGAATGCATAGCTCATTGGGAATTCTCTTTCATTGCAGATAATCATAATGCCTTGACAGTTGTTACCTTATGGGCTCCAGTGATTGCTGTAAGTTGCATTTCATACATACATGTGCTCACACCTGCACATATTATGAATCTGTAATTGATTTTTTTGTTTCTTTCATTCGTTTGAATTATTGGTCCCATAATTTTTCTGCTGGATGTACCTCAACAATCTGACAGTTGGAGTGTTTTTTGTTTTTTGCCCGTTATGTTTGAGTTACTGATATAATGTGGGTAGCTTAAAAGGATAAGGTGGCTCTATTGTTCCCTGATGTGTTTCCAATTTGCTTCAGCCATATTGGCTGAATGGTTTCAGACATGCCTTTTATGCAAGGGGGTGTGGGAGGATGCAACATCTCAAATAGATGGGATATGGACAAACAACCTTGAAAATTATTGAAGCCTTTCTTATGATCATTAGTAAAATTAGAGCAAGATTACCAGAAAAAGCATCCTACATGAAGAAATTAAAACTCACATGCCTATTATAGTTTAATGACTCTTCTAAACCCTCTACTGCCATGCACCATTAGAAGCTATGAAAACTAAAACTCACAAGACAGAATTGATGGAATTTTCTAAAGAAGTGGAAGAAGAACTAGAGATACTCTAAAGTGCCAGTTTCAGCTCGGCAAGTGGTGGTTGAATCCCTCAAAAAGGTCGCCAGTAGTTTGTCTTATTCCAGACATCATTCATCAAGCTTCATTGCTACCAACTTAGACGACAGCATCATCATAACTACTACAACACTATTGCAAAACTGCTGCAGCACCTTTGAAGCTGCCCACCGCTACCGTGATCAACATCATTACATCACCACCTGATTACCCTTTTTTTTTATTATCACTGCTGCTACTATTACTATGTTTTATACTTTTTAAATAAAACATGGATCCTCACTCTTATCTGCTTAATGATAAATAGTTTTTGGAAAACAAAAAAATGTAAAAAAATTAGGTTTTGGTTTTTGAAAAACAGATCTTAAGAGTGCTTTTGAACACAAACTTTCTATATAAGCTAGAGTTTGGTACGTGCAAGTAGTTAACTTGCAAATTATGTGATATCTGCTATTTGCTTAGCTAAATCAGAAGCTTTGTTTTATTTAATACGTTTCCTGGTTTCTGGACAGATTTATCTTTTGGATATCTATGTGTTCTATACCATTATATCTGCTATTTGGGGATTCTTGCTTGGAGCAAAAGACCGCCTTGGGGAAGTAAGTGATTTTTTTTTTTTTGTATATTTGCTTTTTTCTTTTCATAAACATGGAAGCTAGATCCTTGTTGTTTTTATCTCATTTCTATTTTGCTAAAATTTTATATTTCCTTTCCCCTTTCATTTCTCATTAGTCCTTTCATTTCTTTGGGTTATTATGTGTGCCTTAAGATTCATTATTATGCATGTAATAAATCCAGATTAGATCTTTGGAAGCTGTTCACAAACTTTTTGAGGACTTTCCTGGAGCTTTTATGAATAATCTTCATATCCCACTCCCCAACAGGCATGGTTTTGTTAATTTTCTTTCCTACCCATTAACAAGATATTATGATCTCAATTGTTTTCCTCCTCGTTTTCATTATGTCTTTCATCTGAAAGCAATCTCTCCTTTGCAGAAGTTCCCACAGCTCTTCAAGTCAGGTGAGTCATTTGACAATATAGTTTCCTAAATAATGTTTTTGGTCATTTTTCTAGATAAATTATATCATATGCCATCATCTTCTTGAACTTCTATAACCTTTTTGGGGGGGCCTAAAGGGGTTCAGGTGTACGGTAAATTACGAAAGCACCTCTGAGGTATTATAAAATTACACATCATCCAAAAGTTTAAATATTTGACAGAATTCCCTCGTTTATGTAAATATTCCAAAAATCCCCTACTATACCCAAAATGCCCTCAATATTCTCAAAATCATCCCCTTTAACAAAATGAATTTTTTAAAAAAGAAGTGCATTTTGGGTACAGTGGGGATTTTGTAATAGCTTATCACTATTGGGTGGTCATGGTAATTTCATGATATCTCATGGAGGTTATTGTGATTTACCCTTACTTTTATACTTCAATGAACTTTCACTGCGTGCTTGTTTTGTTCTGTATTTCAGCACTTAAAGGAGACTATATTTTTGCTGCTTGGTTCTAACGCAACCACAATCTGCATTGCTTTGCTTTTTTTCCTATATTTTTGCAAATCATTTAGTTTTGTGAATCATGAATGAGATAGGAATCTTAGATAACTCATTTTGGTGTGATGCAGGATACCTTGGAGAAGAGAAAAATTGATGCTGTTATTTTTGGACCCTTTTGGAATGAGATCATACACAATTTAAGGGAAGAAGATTATGTCACCAATTTGTGAGTCCTTGAATATCACCTATTGGTTGCAATTGTTCCTTATCTTTTCTATTTATTGATATTGCATGCTTCACACTATACTGCAATGCTTGATAACAATGTTTGTGCTTTATTGTTATTCATTAATCTGGAGCCACTAGTTTTTATTCATCCTTTGTCAATTCCCTCTTGAACAACCATTCAATAATTTTTTTATTTATCCTGAGAAAGAAGTTTGCAATATACAACTTGGGGTTTGCCTTATAATTGTCATACTAAACTTTGAATCACCAAGTAATTTAAGCTTTGTGGTTAAATTTGGTTAACTTTATTTTTGAAACAAATGCCATTGAATCTAAACGAGAAATCAAGACTTTTTGAAGTTGGTTAATCTTTTATTTGATTTGATATTTTATCAAGGGACGGAGGAACCATGTAGGATTAGGGTGGTTAATATTTCTCAATAATAAATAGTAGATTGTTTTAAGGCCATGCTTTGAGGTCGCTATATTCTGTTGAATTTATGTGTCTGTCCATGTTTCTCTTACTGTTTTTCTAAGTCATAGTGGATTTTTCATGTCTCTTTTACAAGCTCTTCAGGTTCTGCTCTACTCATAGCAGATTGTTCTGATGATTATCATATCTCTGCTATCTCATTGCAGAGAAATGGAGTTGCTTCTGATGCCTAAAAATTCTGGGAACCTTCCCTTGGTTCAGTGGCCCCTTTTTCTTCTTGCCAGCAAGGTCATCTTGAGGCCTCCAGCCTTATATTTCTTGTCTCATCTCCATTTCTTTTGATGATTTTTTTCCAGTTTCCGGAGATTCTTGAACATGATCTTAATTTTTACCTTGTATTTGTTTATGTTTTATGTAGGTTTTTTTGGCTAAAGATATGGTGGAGGGTAGTGATTCACAAGCAGAGCTGTGGGAACGGATTTCAAGAGATGACTATATGAAGTATGCCGTTGAGGAGGGCTACCATGCCCTTAGATTTATCTTGACAGAAATATTGGAGGGTGAAGGAAGGATGTGGTAAGTTTTGAGATGAGGAAACTATTTGAGCCATTGTACATAGGTACGAATGCTTTGTGATGTATTAATATCTTCTCTACCTCAGGGTTGAAAGGGTTTATGCGGACATTGAGGGCAGTATTGCAAACAGGAGTATTCATATTGATTTTCAGCTGAAGAAACTTTCACTTGTAATTACACGAGTTACTGGACTGCTTGGAATTCTGGTAGGTCTCATTTCTGTTTTGTGTAACATGTTTAAACTTTGTATAAATTCATGCTTACCTATAGAAACATCTGTTGTGTTGATAATAGAATTCATTGGAAAATTATGACATTCTCAAGTGCATTGACATAATCCAAGGAGTGCCAATGTGGACCAAGAATAAGAGGCAAGAAAATTGAAAACTGTCAATACAGTACATGAATGCAAAGCATATAAAGGCCAAGTAACAACCTCCATGATATGAATGCAAACTCTCTGTTCAATTTTGATGGGGGGAGAGATTTGAGAAAAAAAAGGTTTTGTTTTCATTTATTGCCCATGGAAGGTTGAGCTGCATGATATTCTGGATCATGTCTGTCTAACATAATCCATGAATTGGGAATGCAGTCGCTTGGTTTTATAGTAAAATGAGACATGATAATCTATGGAAATTTTTAAGTAATTGACATTTTTCTATGATACAAATGCTTTTCTTTGCGCTGTTCCCTCCCTACCTACTTTCTGCTTCATTTGTGTGCATAGCACAAATTATCCCGTCTTGATCAGCTTAAGATAGTCATGTTTGGCGATTTCTTTAATATTCTAAGCAGCAATGTCATTGTCTTACCTGTGTAATATTTTCCTGAGACTCTGACCCTTGTAAGCTATCAAATGTTCAAATCTAGTAGTTACCTGCAGAAAACCCCTTCTTTTGCCATCTGTGTTTAAACCTGACAACTGATATTTTGTTATACACAGAACTCAGGATATCAATATTCCCATGGTTCATTTGTTTCTCATCTAGAGCTTTTCTCGTTTGTTCACTTCTTAGATGAATTGGTGATAACTAGATGGTTCTGACCCCACTGGTTCAGCTATAGATGTTCTATATCAGGCTTTTATTTGTGACAAAATATCTGTGGGCATTTCTATATTTTTTACTTTACCCCAGAATTTAAAAACTTTTCCCCCACACGGTGATTTAACAAGGTCCCCGATCCTATGTGATGGATGATTGATAATGCAAGGATTTGGTTTACAGTGTCTAATTTCGATGGCAAGGAGCCTTTCATTCTATATCTATCTCTAAAGCCATAAACTGCTATTGAATGCTTCTGCACTGTATATGAAATTCTTCCACAGAAAACTGAAAAAGCAGACCAGGAAAATGGTGCCATTAAAGCTGTACAAGATCTGTATGATGTGGTTCAGCACGATGTCCTTTCTGTCAACATGAGGTCCGGTAAAATTGCTTGTGTTCACGTACGCATTTGATACATTGACACTTTCCTCTCAAATATGCCTCATGGGTTCATATTCCAGGGAGCACTATGAGACGTGGAATTTGCTGTCAAATGCAAGGACTGAAGGTCGTTTGTTTACAAACTTGAAGTGGCCAAGAGATACAGAGCTGGTATGTTAGAGAAGATTTATCTTGTTTCTTCTCTTAGTAATGACAGGGTGTGTTCTATATGAAATTATTTAACTTTGGAGGATATGCAGAAAACGCAAATCAAGAGATTGTATTTGCTTTTAACAATCAAAGATTCTGCTGCAAATGTCCCCAAAAATATTGAAGCCAGAAGGAGGCTACAATTCTTTACAAATTCCCTTTTCATGGATCTGCCTGCACCAAAGCCAGTTCGTGAGATGCTATCCTTCAGGTTGTACTTTTTCAGTGCATTAATTGTAGGCATTAATGCATACTTGATGGATCTAGTTTTCTCATGATGTTTGTATGCATGTGCAGTGTATTCACTCCATATTATTCTGAGATCGTTCTTTATAGCATGAATGAACTTCAAAAGAAAAATGAGGATGGAATATCGACTTTGTTTTACCTCCAGAAAATATATCCAGGTACTCCATGTGCTTTGTTGTGATGATTAAACTAACTTTGACACCGCACTTTTTTGCTTGAGTTCATTTGTCCTTGCTTTGTAATTGCTTGCAACCTTTAGTTTATGGTGATTAGAATGTTTGTTCTTTACTTTGAAGGGAAAGGTTGGAGAAATTTACCTGGTTGTTTGGGAGGATTTTATGTGATAGTCTTGATTCCCAATGTGGTCAATTCTATTTGTGTTTTCCCTTTTCCTTTCTTGTTTTTTTTCTTGTACTCCTCGCCTTCTTTATCTCTTACTACATTATGATCCTGGTTTGGGCATGGTCAATGGACAGAATGCACTCACTGAAGGAGTCTAAGCTTTATGCTTTGTGTATTTAGCTTTATGTGATGTCAAGCTTTCATCCGCTTTGGTATTGTTGTCTCAGACCTAGACATTTTATTTGGTTTTCCGTCTCAGGCCTAGACATGTTATTTGGTTTCCCATTTCTTGTAATTCCAATTTGTGATTACTTCTGGGATTTACATTACACTTGGTGGACAATTTACATCTGTGCAAACTAAAAATGTTGGATATTTTTTCGCTCAGTTTTTAACACTTCACTTTCTGTGGACCCAATATCTGTTAGAGTGGAATACGTGATTCCATACATGACGTGGATGTGGCATGTCATGGATAGTTAATTGCAGGTAACAATATGAGGAATAGAGTTGTTGACGAGGTGGAGTGATGATCCATGATAAATCTTGATTCTCTTCCAGTGAATGATTTTTCACTTAATTATGTTGATTTTTACGTTCTCTTTCAGTGAATGATTTGATTTATATAGATAGTCTGAGTAGGGAAAGAAGAAAAAATAAAACAGGTATTGGGATTTAGTTATGAATAGAAGAATTTCTTGGGTTAGTTTTAGTGATGATCATGGAAATATTTTTATTCCCTTCCAGTTTCATAGTCTCTGAATTTAAAAGAATACCATTGATTACATTGTCAATTGTTGATTTTTAGTAAAGTCTTTGCCTGCCCTTGATTTTTATTGCATTTTAATCCAAGTACTAATTTGAATTTGAGATAGTACAGAATTGGGAATCCAATAATGAAGACCACCTGACTTTTTGATAGTTTACCAACAGAAAGTGCAAAAATGGACTGTAATGTGGGGTATAGAGGGAGTGTTGCAGTTCTTGAGTTTTTGGCTTATGAGTCTGGTTGGCTAGTTGACTATTTATGGCTGCTTTGAAAAAGTTTGCTTTATGACTTGAAATGTATTTTCTCTCACTTGCTGGCAGCCTCAAAATTGTTTATGTTTTGTCACAGATGAGTGGAAGAACTTTCTTGATCGTATTGGCTGTGATGAGAATGCACCAGACTCAGAGCTCATTAATAATCCTGATGACAACCTTGAACTTCGGATTTGGGCCTCTTACAGGGGACAAACGTTAGCCAGAACTGGCAAGTGATATTTTCTCTTCTCACTTGAGTTTCTTGGTTCCATATTCTATTGGTTCATTTGGGAGAAGTTCTTATAGTAAAACAATATAATCCGTTTCTTTATACAGGATCTGGTCATGGTCCAAATTTGTATGGGAAATCTGAATTTTGTTATTTGGTTTTATGATGTTTAGTACATCTTTCCTGTCCTATTCCAAGTGCATTTATTTCAGTGGATATATGATTTCACACACCGCTATTCTATTCTCTCATATATTTGGGAAGTCATGAACCATTTCTTTTATTCTAGTATTGTTGCCTGGTTGCTGTAAGGCACGCATGTCGTTTTTGGGCCTGCCATTCCAGATTGCTTTCTACACTGTGCTTGTAGGTTTTCTTCTGTTTTTTTTTTTCCCCCAAAAGTTGCTTGTCATTTGAACTGTTTTCTAGGAAACTGTGTATCTGGTGTATATGTGGGACAAATACATTTACTATGTTTCTAATTCATTTAAATGCATGTTAAGTTAGTGATAATTCTTTCCTATTTTGATCTTTTAATAACACACGCATCCACTTGAGTTTTTTTCCTAGCCAAGTGTACTTGTGTGTGCTCGGATGAGATTCCAGTTGGTTCATTAGCCACTCGCATGCCATGCTCACACTTATACCATGAAACTTGCATCAATCAGTATATATTATGCTTTTCTAGGTTTTATAACCTGCCAATTCAGGATTGAGGGTTTTTTAAGATGAGTATTGGATTATAGTTGAGTGAGTTAATTAGGGCACGTAGCTCCTTTCTTATGTTAGCGTTTACTGATTTGCTAACTTCATCTGGAATCTTAGTCTCTTCACTTAAAGAGATAGGTTTGTTGCTTTTCTATTTTATTAGTTGGGTATTTTGCTAAATCACTGTTTTGATATTTCCAGTCCGTGGGATGATGTACTATAGGAAAGCTCTAATGCTTCAGTCTTATTTGGAGAGAGTGGCGTCTGGAGGTTGGTTCATTTAAATCTTTCTTTTTTATAGCCCTGACATAATCAGTGATCTGATCATGCATGTCAATGTTAGATGTGGAAGCTGCAGTTTCTATTAATGATACAAATGATGCTAAGGGCTTTGACTTGTCTCCGGAAGCACGAGCACTGGCTGATTTAAAGTTTACTTATGTTGTTACGTGTCAAATATATGGAAAGCAGAAAGAGGACCAAAAACCTGAGGCTGCTGATATTGCATTGCTGATGCAAAGGTGAATTTTAGCATGTCAAATATATGTTCTTATGCTTGAAGTATGTTCTCTTTTGCCAGATTTATTTTGTGTCCCCTGCACACTCTCCTTGCCTATCTTTTTTTTTCAAAGCATGTTAGTTTTTGTTCGCCAAATTTAGAGATTCAAGCATTTCTCTGTAGTAATAGTTTTTCCCACTTGAAAGCTTAGTTATATTATAGATACCTAATATCTAGCTATTTACTTGTGTTGTAGAAATGAAGCTCTTCGTGTTGCTTTCATTGATGAGGTTGAATCTTTGAAGGATGGTAAAGTGCATAGAGAATACTATTCGAAGCTTGTGAAGGCTGACATCAATGGAAAAGACAAGGTTCACATTTTTTTTTGCTGTCCTCTAATGTTGATGATAGCCATTGGCTTTAGTTGAAATATGTTGAACGAACTATTATTTTTATAATATTGGTGCAAATGCATTTATTTGGGTTGTGTTTTAACCCAGTTTGAATTTGTTGTATTTTTCATCGTGATTTGTTGCATTTTTTTTTTGAATTTTGGTTGTATCTACAAATAAAGTAAAATCACAGCGTGCTTCGAAAACCGATATTACTCATAAATTGGTGTAACGTTTATCCTCTAGATAATATGGGTAGAATTGTTTCTATTCCGTGCTAATGCACTAGCAGTTTATTGGATGTGCAGTTTTGGTATGTATTAGCGTGGAGCTAATCCGATTAGGAGTCAAAATAGTTCCATCCTCAATAGATTATAATGGACAATGCAATCTGACAACTTCTATTTAGAGCAAGAGCTGTTCTTCATTCCACTTGTAGCTTATTAATTTGTGAATTTTTTTTTCTTTGAAGGAAATATACTCTGTTAAGTTGCCTGGGAATCCAAAACTTGGAGAAGGAAAACCTGAGAATCAAAACCATGCAATTATATTTACTCGTGGAAATGCAATTCAGACAATTGATATGAATCAGGTAAGTCATAGTTTTTTCCCATTAATGTAATTATCTTGAACAGTCTTGGACTTGTAAAATGTTGAGACAAGTGAAACTAATCTGTCATTTTATGCAAATTGGCCTCATTATTTTTTGTTCTCCTGTTTTTCTTTTGAACTTTTATGATCAATAACCTTGTTGGAACAACGAGAAGTATTATTTCCTCCACAAAATCACAATTACTAGAAACCCAATTTGACAAAGGGCCTTACATTTCCAGTCTCTTGTGCTTTAACCCAAGACTATACATTCTAGAAGCACTGCACACAGTCAAGAAAGCTACCATATTCTGCAACATCTTTTCAAGAGGAACACCTCCCAAAATTTTTGGAATTCTTCTTGCTCCCTATCCAATAATTGTCGTGTGGAAAATGAAGAAGGATTTTTTATGCAATATAGGAACAATAAAGTTCTAAAGTTCACCTGTATGTTTGTAATGTAGCATGTTACAATTTCATTACTATTTAAGGGAAAGAACATTGATGATGAATTAAATTTTTGAATTAAGTATTGTTTCTTTACGCAGTGTAAAATGAAGATCAAGCTGTAGAGAAATCTAGAGATAACTCTGATATTTTTATTGAATCTAAATAATAGTCTTGATTTCCATAAAATAAACTAGACATTACTTTTTATATTAGTACTAAAATCCTTTATATGAAAAGATTCCTAATTAAAAGGTATCTAATTAATAGAATCCATCTAGCATTGAGATTTCTAAATAGTAAAATACTAATTAAATTCAAAGTCCCAAGCTAAGTAGGAAACAAATAATTAAAATCCAAAATTAACTAGGAAAATAATTAAAATAAAAAAAAGAACTTCATGCTTCAATATGGTCCTTTCTTGGGATAATTGCTTTACAGTAATAAATAACTTCATGCTTCAATATGGTCCTTCTTTCTTGGGATAATTGCTTTACAGTAGTCTCTCCCATTTTAGAAAAACTCGTCCTCGAGTTGAGTTTAGTATTTGGAAAGCACTCATAAAGATCAACAACATTGAAGGTCTTCGATGTGCCTATGCTCTTCAGAAGACCAATACTCACAAGCATTGTCATTGATTTTCTTCAGCTCCTTGTACAAACCACACTTCTTCATCTTTAGTTTATTATAGGTTCCTACTCGAAACCTCTCCTTGCGCTAGAAAACCATGACTCCTTGAAACAATTTAACTTGTCTATGCTTGTCTGTTGCATGCTTATTTCTAGCACCTGTTTCTTCCAGTTTCCTTCTGATCTTTTGATGCACAACTTGTACTGTTCTGTCAATTTCTCCACTCTCTTACTTTAGGCAGTGAGTAGATCGAGCACATGACTCAGAAGTTTCGTGTACACAATTTCTAATGATGTCTTGTCAATAGCACCATGCTTGGAACTGTTGGAAGCAAATTTTGCCTGAGCCAATGCAACATCTTGCTGTTTAGGCTTGTCCCCACAAATGCTTTGAGTCAGATTGCTCAAATTTTGCTTAGACTCTATTTGGCCACCAGTTTATGGATGAGCATACTACTAAACTTCTAAACTTCAAAGAGGAATTAAACCACTTCCACAAAGTTAGCAAAAAGTGACCAAGGAACCCGGTATCTCTATTAAACGTGATGGATTTTAGAACGCCACTATCTTCCTAAAAAATAGCCCAGCCACACTGATCGAATCTATATGCTTCTTTGGGTTTTCTGAAACACATGCACGCAATGAAAACGATAATTTTTTTTTTTAAAATTGGGAGTTCCAAGATTTTGTTAGACAGATCTAACGTTTTTTAGAGTTTATATAAAGATTACTTAAAGATTATATGTTCTTTTTGGCTTTGAATAATTGGTTCAAGATTGAGTTGTCGCAAATCACAAGTTGTCTAAATGTTCGACCTCTAATAGTAATTCACATGAACTATTATTGAGAAATCTCTTAAACCCTTTTAGGTGAGAGGGATTACTATAGCTTTGAGTGCTAACTCTTTTCTTTTGTGTTTTTCAGCTGTTTTGTAACTTACATAGTTTATGTATTGTGCATTACTTAGAAAATAAAAAGCATCACATTTTATTTATAGGGCAACCTGAAAACCCTATAAATGAAAAAAATATTAATTTACCCCCTGAATAATATCACATATATATGATTTCTCGTTGTGAAAGTTGACGAAAATGATTTTTTAATGTGTCAAATAAAATGAAAGTTACTCTACTTGTCATGTTTTCTTCTTTGTTCCCTCACTGGGTTGTTGTTGTTATGGTATGTAGAGTAGGTATTTGTAACTTTCTTCACTGTGTAATGTTGGTTGTAATGTGTCTTTACATGATAACTCTAGGATAATTATTTTGAGGAGGCCTTGAAGATGAGAAATCTGCTGGAAGAATTCCATCAAGATCATGGTATTCGACCTCCAACCATTCTTGGTGTTAGGGAACATGTGTTTACAGGAAGGTATGTTTCTGCTGAAACAAGTATTTCGCTCATTTGAGTAATGATGTTATTTTCTGCTAAAGGCATTACCTGTGATGATTGCAGTGTCTCTTCTTTAGCCTCATTTATGTCAAATCAGGAAACTAGCTTTGTAACTCTCGGTCAGCGTGTTCTGGCTAATCCTTTAAAGTAAGCTTGTAGTTTTATAGCAAGTAAATTGGTAGCGTACTATCATATTGAATTTTCAGATACAGATGACTTGGATGTAACTCGCAGGGTCCGTATGCATTATGGACATCCAGATGTTTTTGACAGAGTTTTCCACATAACTCGGGGTGGTATTAGCAAGGCCTCTCGTGTTATCAACATCAGTGAAGATATATATTCAGGCATGACTGCTTTACTTGACTATTGATGGACTTGTTTCCAGTTCTTTTATGTCTTTGCTAGGGACATATGGTACCATAGATCAAAACCTAATTTGCTTAATCTGTTTCTGAAAGTTTTAATAGGAATAGCATTTAGCACCTTATGGATTTTATTATCACCAAAGAGAAGTTCCTTGTTTTATCCAAAACGATCAGAAAGTTTATGGGTTGTTGGAAATTGGTTCATTTCTCAATAAAAGAACCATCACGACCTTGTGAATTTGATCTGCCAAAGCCAGTCTATCTTGTTGTTGTTCATTATGTGTGGGCTTTCTCCTTCACCTTAGGCTTTTAGCAATTATTTTAGTTTTTAAGTTAAAAACCTATGAAGGAATTAGAATGTAATGTCTTTCAAATGCTTTTATTTTTACATTTAACTCTCTCTCTCTCTCTCTCTCTTTGTATTGTGTGTGTGTACCTTACAGAATTTTTCCTTTTGACATCCCATGCAGGGTTCAATTCAACTCTACGCCAAGGAAATGTCACCCATCACGAGTATATTCAGGTATGGTTTCTTATTTCTTACTTGGAGCTTTTTTAAGTTAAGTAATTGTAATCCTTGATTAAAATTTACAGGTTGGCAAAGGACGAGATGTTGGTCTCAATCAGATAGCTGTATTTGAAGGGAAGGTTTCTAGTGGTAATGGTGAGCAAGTTCTTAGTAGGGATGTCTACAGGCTCGGGCAGCTTTTTGATTTCTTTCGAATGATGTCATTCTACTTTACCACTGTGGGATACTACTTTTGTACGATGGTATGTAATTACTAGCTGTGGTTATGAACATGACAATTTATAATTTATTTGCAGTTGAATGAATTGAAGGTTCACATCGGTTGGCTTAAGTTGCTTAATGCAATGATAAAGAAAATGCAACATTTAAAGAGTTAGACTATGCTAATTTTACGCTGTTTCATGAAGGGAGAATGTATATCTTACTCTAAAAGTTTGCTTTTGTTCCAATCCTTTGAGTGTGCACCTTTTGCATGCCTTTCTTCTTATCAGCTGGCCTCTATGATTTGATTCATCGTGTAGGTTTTGTGTTGCACTTCTAGATAGTATTTAGATAAATGTGTATCTAGTACAACAGAGATTGGGGTTTACATCTTATGCTCCAATTTTACAGGGAAAAAGAGTAGGAGAGGAAAAGTGTGGTGTGAAAGCTGCATCATGTTTTTTTACATGCATATGCACACCTCTCATTGTATTTCTTTTTAACAAGTTTTCTTTTGGAAATTATATTGCAGTTGACGGTGCTGACTGTATACATTTTCCTTTATGGGAAGGCATATTTGGTAAGATTGATCTGTCCATTACCTGACTAAAATTTCCATTCTTGTATACTCGTTCACTTTAAATCCTTTGCACTCCAGATCACGACTTATATGTTCATTTTTATATTTAGTTTGCTGATATTTTCCTGTTTCAAGTTGATAAATATGATATGAAATTATGTACCAGTTTTAAGCCACCATAAAATGAAGAAACAATGTCTAACATGTGTCATAAATACAATCCCATAGGTTTTAAGGCATTCATCTGATGTAAAATGTCTTAAGAAATAATCCATATATGTTTTATTTTTTAGTAGAATAATCTATATATCTGATTTTATAAGATTATATAAATGTAGTTCACAGTTTTGTTTCATCTCAGCACCTGCTGTTTGCACAAATATGCTAGCTCTTGTTCCCAATTTATTTTTCTTGACACTGATGCGATTTTGTTTTAGGCACTATCTGGAGTAGGTGAAGAAGTTGAAATTAGAGCACTGATAACGAAGAACAATGCCCTGAGTGCTGCTCTGAACACTCAATTTCTCTTTCAAATTGGTATTTTTACTGCTGTGCCAATGGTTTTGGGCTTCATCTTAGAGCTGGGATTCTTGAGGGTAAATATCATCCTTACTATATGTTTCATAAGCTGTGAATGCTAATTACATGAACTAACTAAGGGTTAAGCAAGATGCAAGAAAGTTTCTCTCTTTATATTTTATTTTCATTTACATGTTTTTTCACCTATACCATCCTTACATTTTATGCCGTTACATTTTTATTCTATGTTAAATTTTTCTGAACTTCTTGGTGTCGCTTATGCCAAACATCTGCATGTGGTATATTACATCCCAAGCTTGTAAAATTATTTTTATGTAGGTTAGTGTTCCTCCTTCGCAAGCATTGTTTAAGCAACTGGACCCAGTAAACTCGGAATTATGAAGAGAGGAGAACTAAGATTTTGCATTTTTTTGTGTTGCATTATTTCACTCATCTACAAGCATGCATATTTACTTTTGAACTTCTGCTTATGCTATCATGTCATCTGAGACTACTGTAATTCATTGTTTAGCTTACTTGACTCGTGCTCACGGTTCTCAGTTTTAAGGACATGAACTTCTGCTTAGCTTCATGTTCTTTAATTTGTTGCTGAGCTGAAAAACTGTTGTGGTGGTAATCTTCTGATTAATGTTGCAGGCTGTTGTCAGTTTCATCACAATGCAGCTTCAGCTCTGCTCTGTCTTCTTCACATTTTCATTAGGCACAAAATCACATTATTTTGGTAGGACCATTCTTCATGGCGGTGCAAGGGTATGTTCAATCATTTTCTTTGTTGAATATTTATTATTTGTTTTTAGTGCTGTGGAATGTGTTACAATAATATTCTTTTTCCTACTAGTATCAAGCCACTGGTCGTGGATTTGTGGTCCGCCATATTAGATTTTCTGAAAACTACAGGCTTTACTCCCGCAGCCATTTTGTCAAAGGGTATCTCTCTCTCTCTCTCTCTCTCTCTCTCTCTCTCTCTCTCTCTCTCTCTCTCTCTCTCTCTCTCTCTCTCTCTCTCTCTCTGTGCGTGCACGTGCACATGCTTGAGCTGCAATAATCGTTTGATTGTCCTCTTATCTTCAGACTAGAAGTTGTGCTTTTGCTGGTCGTGTACCTTGCATACGGGTATAATGAAGGTGGTGCATTATCTTACATTCTTCTTACAGTCAGCAGTTGGTTTATGGCTCTATCTTGGCTTTTTGCTCCCTATTTGTTCAATCCATCTGGATTTGAGTGGCAAAAGTAAGCACTGTTTCTTATGTTTATTTATGGTTTTTTTTTTGCCACCTTGTTGAGTAACCCTTAATGATGTACTTTTAGGACAGTGGAGGACTTCAGTGATTGGACAAATTGGCTTTTTTACAGAGGTGGAATTGGGGTTAAGGGACAAGAAAGTTGGGAGGCTTGGTGGGATGAAGAATTGGTATTACTTTTGTTCTTGTACATGTCATTGTTTTTCCCTTTTTCATGTTTTGAATAAATGCATAGGGGAAATTCCACTCCAATTCCCCTAAAGAATCTCCACTCCTATGCATGCATCAAACAGTGACTCTCCTTGGTTCAGTGGTACCATCGGCCATTATCAGATGTTCATTGGCATACCCTATAAATGAAAATAAGGGGCAGCATCAAGTATCCATTTGATTCCAGCTATGTATAATTGTTTCTATAATATTGTCTATTTGTTAGGCTGTGGAAAGATAGAATACTGGGATGCATAGTAGGGAGAGAAGGGGGGGATTAGAGAAGCTTCAGCCCTACAAGATTCTGAGAGGAGAAAACTGGGATACATGCTATATGAAGAATTAGCAAAACTAAGGAAAGCTGCAACAAAAATACCTAATCTTGATTGTAACTTTTGGTTGATATTGCAATGTTAAGATATCCATTAAAAGAATATTTTTAGCGAACACTAACTGAGCAATAAAGAATGAAGCTCCTTTTCTTTAAGATTGCAAACACATTGGTAAAGCTACTCTTGTAATTGATTGGGAACATGCTGGTAAAGCTTCTCATCTAAGACCTGGGTGAGCACTTGGCTAGCCTTTGACTACACTGAGCAGTATTGTTTTATGCTCTAATCAAAGTATCGTGAAAATGCTCTTAATGCTGTTTCATGTTAATCCAGATTCCAGAATTAATTCCATATATTTTTTTTGTCAAAATAGTAAAGCAATTGTACAGAACACATGGTCCAGTTGATGTTGGGCAATTTGGTCAACTTAGCAATCTTTTACCAAACTACTTGAAGGGACTTAAAATCTTCTTTAACCATGCAAGTCTTGTATGTTTCACTTTTTATTTAGCATGTTCTATATTTTTTGCATTTCACTTTGTTTCACGTTAACGACCTCAAAATATCTTACAGGCACATATTCGGACTTTGAGTGGGAGGATAATGGAGACTCTTTTGAGTCTAAGATTCTTTATCTTCCAGTATGGTGTTGTATACAAACTTCATATACAAGGAAGTGATACATCATTATCGGTAATACATCTCTTAAAATGTGTCTTTATGCAGGACGTGCTTTGGCTTCTGAAATGGCTATTTTGCCTCTTAATGCAGTTTTACCCCTTATTTGTTTCGTCCTCCAAATGAAATTAGATTCATTGACCTAACATGCATTTCTTATTCTTGGGAAATCACTTTTTGGTGTGTCTTAGGTGTATGGCTTCTCTTGGATTGTGCTAGCTGTCCTTATAATTCTTTTCAAGGTGAGCAGTATTGCTGCACAGCCACAAATTATGTACTTCTTAATTATGAGACTTGCTTGTCATGTTGTTTGTAATTCAATTCATCTTTACCTTTTGATTACAGGTGTTCACTTTCAGTCAGAAGGTCTCTGTCAATTTCCAACTTTTGTTGCGCTTTGTACAAGGTGTCTCCTTCATGTTAGCTTTGGCTGGTATAGTTATTGCAGTTGCGCTTACAGAATTGTCAGTGAGTGACATATTTGCAAGCATCTTAGCATTTATTCCCACTATATGGGGAATTTTATCCGTGAGTTTTCTGAATCACCTTTTTCATTCTTCTTTTAATTCTTATCTTTACTCATCTTCTTTCCTTGAAGCACAAGTAGAAAAATTTCCATATGTTCTTCAGTGATGAAATTCTGAACTGCTCTTTTGCTGTTGCTGTTGCTGTGCTGTAATCTTGATATATGCGAGTTTAACATCAAGGACAGATTATTTTGTGTAAATCTGTGAAAATCGAACACTTTGGATGGAAAAACATCTTATCAGATACATGTAGGCTGTTTAGTCAACTTTTATTTCCTCATGAATTGTCATAAGAATTATCAGGGGGGTGGGGCACAAATGAAAAAAAAAATGTCCTCAAGAAGCCATTGCACAAAAGTGAGAGTGAATAAGCACTGAGCGGTCATGCTAGAACAATGAAACTGCTTGCAGTAAGATGAGTTACGCATGTTGTTCATATCTAGAAAAACAATTCCATGCTATCAAACACAAGAATGTAAGGGCTTTTGAGTGCCGCATCAAACATCATAATAGACGTCCTGAATTAATTCAATACGGTACGAACTTGAGAGGGAAGGAAGAGGGGAGAGAAGGAAGAGGGAGCGGAGAACATGGACAAGTAGTTTGTCTTTAACCTGATTGTTTGTGAACAATGTTTATTATATATATCTTTTACACAATTCTTCCCCGTATCTTTCATGGTTTGAGATTATAATTTCATTCTTTTTTTTTCAGATTGCATCTGCTTGGAAACCTGTAATGAAACGCATGGGATTATGGAAATCCATCCGTTCAATTGCCCGCCTATACGATGCTGGGATGGGGATGCTGATCTTCATCCCAATAGCATTCTTGTCTTGGTTTCCATTCGTTTCAACCTTCCAAACCCGGCTCATGTTCAACCAAGCCTTCAGCCGAGGACTGGAAATTTCTCTCATTCTTGCTGGTAACAACCCCAATATTGGGATATGATGAACAGGTTTGATCCTAAAGGAGAGTTTCGTTTTTCGAGTAGTATTGGTTTGATCTTACTATATCCCTGTGATAGCAGCAAACCAGTTAGGTTACATTTTAGCTACGTGAATAGCAATGTAGCATTTGTTGTTATATTGTATATTAGATTCTGTGGTTACAACATCACGCAGTTTATGATTAGTTATGTTTATACATTTTCAGCTAAAATTTTCAACCGATTTAACATGTAAATTTTGTGCTTTAGTGGCTAATCTGAAAAACCCTATAGATTGTTAATTCCATCTTAGCAGTGGTATATTGCTGCTGATTACCCTTTATTATTATTATATGTTTACATTTAAGTTCAAATTGGCACATTCTTCTACTTAGTAATTACACAAGCAAGAAGTTCACTTTGCTTTTGTCTTTGCATTTTTATTTTTTATTTTTTATCAAATAGCACAATATTGGAGCATGGTTTGATTTCGGGATGCACCTAAATAAGGGTTTGTGTTAACTCGTGGGCACCTAAATAAGGGTTTGTGTTAACTCGGGGGTCGCTTGGTCGCTTGGTGAATGTTAAGCCTAACCTTAACAAGATTCAGGAAATAGAAGAAGGAAGGAACAGAATAGGAAGGGAAGATAGAAAAAGAATTCCCCTGTTATTTCTTGTATCTCACGCAATCTCTATATGGGCTTATATACATCACCAGACCTTCATTTAACTCTCTCTCACTTATTCATGTACTGACAGTTACTGTCATTAACAACCTCTAACTGTCAGTTAACCATCACGCTTTTAATGTGTACCTCTTGTTCTTCCCCTGAAGTTTGGAACAACACTCCCCTCTTGAATGCTTTCTTGTCCTCAAGAATGCTCTAAGTTGGACCCCACTGAACCGAGCCAGCTGTTGCTACTCTGTTCCTTTTCCTCATCAGTGTCCTATCCAGCACTGTGACAGGAAGAACTTCCATCCTTCCTCCATTTCTTACTGGTAATCTAGAGGACACCACTGCTTCTCTCAGGCAATTTCAGTAGATTAGCTTCTGCCCGGATCTTCTTCCTGCTATTTTTTATTATGATCTATAATACCCAGGATTAAGTCTAAAATTCTTCCTCAAGGCCACATTACCATTCTTATGGCTTCAGCTTCAAGAACACATGGTGGCAACGGAAGTTGTGCCGCCATGTGCTAAGGACGGCCATAGGCACCATCTCTTAGGATTGTGCATGGCCATTTTGAAGAACTGGTTGGAGATTCCCATTCTTTTATATGCCGTTGTTCGTCTATCTTATCATGCATAGTCTCGTGGTGTGACCTGAAGATGTTCACGTGAGTGACATCGACAGAAAACGAATATTAAGATTTGAGGGTCGATTAGATACTAGATACTGTCCCATTTCTTTGATTCTTCACCGGATGGGATTGGATTGATGGCCACTAAATGCACCGCCTGCTTTTTGGTAAAATCTAACCCATTTTCTTTTTTTCTAGAATTTCGCTTTCATAGGTTGAACAATTATAATTCTATGTGGCAAATTGTGTGAGAATTGATTGAGATTCTTCAATAAGATTTTTCATGCGCCACCTGCTTTTCCTTGAGAAATTCTTGGAATTTACTCGGCTAGCAATAGGGCAAGATAGTCAGGTCAATTTCTTACTTTGCTAGCAATAGGGCAAGATAGTCAGGTCATTTTCTTACTTTTCAATTCAATTCAATTCAAAACTCCTTCCAAATTAAGTTTGAAAGTCATAAATCTCTTAGACCGAACTCACGAGAATCAATCAATTTTAACAACTACGATAGAAAGGGGCAGAACAGAAAATAAGCGAGAAAAAGAAGAGAGTCAATGGCTCCCCCCTTTACGAGATGCTGGTGTTCTGTTTCCTCCCTTCTGTGGTTTCTTAGAAGCTCGCTCATCAGCAACCACAAACGCGTGCAGTGCAATGGATTCCACCACATCTCTCTACCTACTGAAGCACGAAGAGCCCTTTTCATTGATGAGTTCACTTCACACTTGAATCTTTTGTGCCCAAGAGTTCGTTAAATGGATACTTTATCACACAGATCTAAAGCATTGTTTTCAACTAGCAAGAGCATGTTATATGCTACTCAGTCTCGTAGTATTTCTTTCGTATGGTATACTCGTATATATGCCGTAGTCAAGTTTTCTCTCTTTCCTCCCTCTTAGTTCTCTTAAACAAAATCACCAACGGCAGCCCTTCATCTCCCTGGTTCTCCATTTTATTTCCTTAATTTCTTTGTTTCTTAGAATGTTAACAATTCATATCTAGATTTGATCTGTACATTAAACTCCTAGTTTATTAGAATATTTTCTCAGTGTAGCAAGGCTCTGATGTTTCTTTACAGGGTGATGGCATGTATTTATTGAAAGATTGATGCAACCAATATTATTATAAAATATGTTTTAATTAAGAAGTTATTAATATTTTAAGTATAAAATAATAATTTAAAACTATAATAAAAATATACTTTTAAATACTAATCAACATTAATTTTTAATTAAAAAAATAATTTATAACGACGCTAAGTTTATGTGCGTATGATGCTGTTGTGTATCAACAATGAAAATTATAATTTTTTTATAAAAATAATATATATATATATATATATATATATCCTTTTCATCTTGTTTTACCAAAAGAGAAAAAAATTCAAACTGGAATGAAGGTTAGGTGTTTATCATAAAATATCGTTTCTTGTTGCAGAGATTAGGTTAGATGCCGTTTAAGGTTAGGTGATTATCTTTGGTTAGAATATATACAGGGAATATTGAGCCAAAAAAAAAGAGAAGAAAATCTGGGGTTTAATCTTTAGACCGACAGGTATATCATAAGCTGGGAACAAGAATAGAGGTAAGAAATACTTATTCCCTTTAAGCGCGCGCATGATATTCTTCGATAGCATTTGATTACCGTTTTACAATAAAAAATATATATTTCTGTGTTTTTATTTTGAAAACATAAAAATTTATATCAAATGATCTTATAAATATTTATTTTTATATCTTCACCGTATTTTTATTATCTTTATTCTAAAACATTATCTAAATAGATGTCCCATGTCATTTTCCTCCTTGCTTACCACCCAAGCCATCTCGAAGCATCACCGTCATCAAAGTCTGTTACTTTCTTTTTCCCTCTCTTAATCTTCACTCATTCCATTCTTTCCCTCTTTGTATTCCCTTCTTCCAACAAAGAATTTTACATTATAAGTTTATTCAAATAATTGGTATCTATGAACTAACTTTAAATCTAAAATTCAAAGGGATGTTAACTTGCATAATAAGATGCCCTCTTCTATACTTCACACATAATTATTCCTCAAATTAATACATAAATAATTTATTTGAACACAAGGACTTAATTTTATTATACTAACATATATTAAAAGTGATTAGCTTTTCACCATGACAATAACGAAATAAGGCAAGTTTCTTTTTACTTTAGTCCTTAAATTTTTTAATATTTTTTTTAATTTTATTTTTTAACATTGAATTTACAGGGTATATAACTTTATAATTTGTTTTGACTTTCTTTTTATTAAGTTATCCCGGTCTCATAAATCAAGTTGTGAATTTTGCGAGTTATAACCGTATTAACTCAAGTTATTTTTCTTTATCTATTTTTTTAATTTTATTTTTTAATATTGGATTGATTGAGAATCAAATTCTATAATTTTTTTCAAATTTCTTTCTATGCATTTATCATAATTTTCTGCCGTGAATTTAGTAAATTAATCAAGTTTATGCCAAATAGTTTTTATTATTCTTTATTTTTTTAATATAATCCTTGAAAATTAGAGTTGATTGAGAATTAAAATTTATAATTTTTTTATTTGCTTTTTAAGTGGTTATCACGGTCTTATGATTCGAGTCACATGTTAAGTTAGTTGACTTGGATTTTTATTGTTTTTTTAGTTGAATTTATTAAAGTTTATCATTTAATATTGGGTTGATTGATAATTAGACTTTATAATTTATTTTAGTTTGCAATCGATGATATTATCTCAATCTCATAACCTGAGTCATAAGTTTGGTTAATTGAATGAAGTGATTTTTTTAATTTATTTTTTTAATTTTACCATTAAATACTGAATTAATTGAGAATTGAGTTTTATAATTTATTTTTCTTTTTAAAGATTATTCCAATCTCATGATCTATGTTTGATTGATTAATCGAGTTGATTTGAATTTTTTTAGTTGAATTTTATTTTAAATTTCACTATTTAATATTAGATTTATTGAATATTGAGTTTAATATTTTTTTTAATTTGCTTTCAATAGAGTTATCATTATTTCATGATCTGAATAATAGATTTGATAGGTTAATTTAAGTTGATTCAAGTCGAGATAACATGCTGTCATTTTAATATTTTTTAAAAATATCATCCTAGATATCATATTTATGTTGAATTTTTTTTATTCAACTTACAACATAACACAAAAAATTATCTAGTAAAATTAAATTAAGAATACAATTTGCTATTAAATTAAAAAAAACTCTGACAGTGAGTATCTCAGAATGTTCAAGTAATGCTATTTATTCAAATCAATATTATTGAAAATACTAATTTAAAAGGGATTGTTTTAGATGATTACCCAAAACCCCAAATTCTATCAAAAAGAAACATAGAAGTACTTCCACAATGGTTATTAAATACAAAAACTCTAAAGGACCAAGTTGCAAAGTCCCTTCATTCTCCTAACTAAAATATTTAATATCTCATAAACCAAACCCTAAGCACATAGAAAATAAAGACTAGTTTGCAATTTCCCTACTTATCGCCTTCAAGCAGTCAAATCAAACCCTTTCAAACCGACACGTCCTTTCATCTCCACCGTCCATTAAAAAACCCCCAAATCCAACCGCCATAAATCACCTTTATCCCGTATATAAACAGCCCCAACACAATAATACAGCCCTAAAAAAAAAAAAAAATTAACCAAGAATTCTCTAGATCTCTAAAATTAAAAACAAATTAAAGAAGTTTCAAAAGGTAGACAAAAAATCCGATCTTTTTAGCGTTTTTCGATCTGATCTTTAATTTCTCATCTTCTTCTTCTTAGTAGACGGGAATTGATCTTAATTGCAAACCTATTTTGCTAATTTAGATTTTTGTACGTCAAAACCGAGCCTCTTTTGTTTTTTATTTTATTGTCTTAGGGTTTGAAAAATGAACGATCAGCCGTCACCGTCAATCATGAATCAGCAGCCACCGCAATTGATGGGTCAGCCACCTCCGATTCATCTGCAATCACTGATGTTGAGTCACAGTCAAGCCATGAATCAACCACAGCCGTTGATGATGATGATGAACCAGAGACCTTTCAAGAAGTTTCAAAATCCGTCGAAGTTTAATAATAATTTTGTTCCTTCAAAGCCTAGAAGCAGCAACAACAGCAGCAGCAACTGGAAGGGTAAAAATGCCAACAACAACAAAAGACTGGAAAATTCCAATAATAACCCTGGTTTATCTTGTGGTGTTAGTGGCGGCGGTGGCGGAGGGTATAAGCCACCGAGTTTGAATGAATTGCAAACACAAAACAGAATGAAAGCGCGGAAATATTATCATCCAAAGAAGAAATTTAATAATAGGTTCGCGCCTTATGCGCCGAGGAATACGACGTCGTTTATTATCCGGGCGAAAAAATCCGGTGGGATTGCTTCGTTGGTTTCTCCGTGTCCGGTGACTCCGGCAATGTTGCCAACTCCGATATTTTCGCCTTCGAGGGAGGTGTTAGGTGATATGGCGAAAGAGGAGTGGGGTGTTGATGGGTATGGATCGATGAAGGGTTTGATTAGGTTGAGATCCCCTGGAAATGAAGCGAGTGAGGATGATGAGGATGATGAGGAGAGCGATGTGGAAGAGCATGTGGAAGTGGAAAGGAGATTGGATCATGATTTGAGTAGGTTTGAGATGATTTATCCGAGCGGTGGTGGTGTTGGAGGGGAGTATAGTTATAATAATAATAATGTCTTGGAGAATAGGGTTGATGATCAGGACACGCATATAGCGCAATTGGAAGAGGAGAATTTGACTTTGAAAGAGAGGTTGTTTTTGATGGAGAGTGAGTTAGGGGATTTGAGGATGAGGTTGCAGTTTTTGGAGAGGCATCAGCAGCATGGTCAGAGTAGCAGTAGTGCTATGGTTTTGGAAGATGTTAATGAGGAGGTTGTGGAGAATGTTTCTGAGAATGAGAGTGATGGAGGATCTGATATTGGTGTGAATACTGTAGCTAACGACGGTAACGAGGAGGTGATGGAGTGTGTAAGAAATGTTAGTAATTTTGATAAGGAGGAAGGGGAGTGATGATGTTTGTATGGAAGAAAATGTACTGATGATCAAGTTATCATGAAGCATGAGGTCAAGGATGAGAAGGCAGGTAGTGGATTTGTTAATGATGGGGAAAAAGGAGACGATTTTGTAGCTACTGATGCAGAAACAGTGAAGGTTGATGAAGCAAATGATGAAGAGGGAAAGCTAACTTTTACCAGACCGTCTGGTTTCAAAGGTGGAGGAGCCTGTCCAAAGGTGATACTGCTGACAACAGGGTTGTGCAAGACAAAATGGTTTCAAAGGAGGACACTTCTCATGATAATCAAGTGTCCTTAGAGAAGAGCATTGGCGGTGGTGACTAATGTTTTGTCCCGCGTTAATGTAAGTCTCTTCTCTGAATAGATGGAATGTCATGTTCATGTCTTTGCACAAAGGATAAATGTGACCTTTGTAGAGTTAGTTTAATTTTTATTTTTCTCTTTTATGTTTTGTTGGTCTGAAAGGAGGAAATAAGGGAGGATTTGTTTTGATTCCCCAATTTTCTCTTGTTCAGATTACAAATCCTACGAAGCAGGTTGTATCTTGCTATCCTTTTTAGGCTACTGCGGGTGGTATTTGGGTGGGAGGGTTCAGGTAATGGGGGGCTAGTGTGAAGGTTAGTTCTGATAAAAGCATAAATCTGTATGTTGCATTTTATGGCTTTTGAGCTGGATGTAACCTGGAACATTTGGCGTAAATCTCTAACCATGATGTACTGGCTTTTCATTTGTCTAATGCCATAAACATTTCGACTACGTTTGCTTCTTTTTCTTTTTCTTTTTCTGTCCATGGAATGCCTTTCTGAATGTTTTATCCAAATTATCCTTACTATATTTGTGATTACTTTTCTAGTATTATTTCAATTCTTGATTGCGGGGAAGGGAGGCCTGCTGTTCTGATCTGTGCACATGTACCTTTATAATTGTTACCATTTTATTCATGTTTCTGTACTTCCTAAATGGCCTTTTTTTAATTGTTTCTTTGGTTTCCTCAGGAGATCTGAAACTTTTGAGCCTGAAGAACTTCTTCCTCTGAAATCCCAGGTTGTTATGACATGAAGCCATAGAAAATTACATATGATTGGGTGATAGTGGATGGTAGGTTTATTACCCTCTGATTCCAGATATGATTAGAAGTAGAAAACCGGCTGTTTGGAGATTCTAATAAAACTTTCCCATCTGAGACTCTGATTACAGTTTCCAGTTTGACAAATGCTGGGAATTTTGGTTGCGTGTTGCTCTTGGAACTTTGCTTATTAGTGCTAAACTCGTACTTTTGATGCCAATAACTGTTATTGCTTATTGTTGTTTGTAGTCAAAGAGGGTAGAGTTGCATTCAGTGGCTAAAATTGGAAAACAAATGGCCTCGACAATTTCTCTGTCCCTTGGTATATCCGTTACTGGATTGGTCAGAGAGCTAAAGTGCAACATCTTGCATGAAAACATTCAGTGTCTCCTCATGTGAGGTTAATGCAGCTTGACTTGTAATTGCAGACAGATAGTGACTTTTGAGAATTCCCATACTTTGGATAGGTTAATTGATCATAAAAATCGGGGATAGGTCAATTGATCATAAAAATCGGTGTCCTATGTTTGAGCAATTGTAGCTCCTGAAATTCAAATGTTACCCGGCAAATGTGATGCTTATGTTTCCCAGAGACGTAGCTTTAAGATTTTTTTTTTTGTTGTTGCCTATTATAGGGGTGTGTTTTAGGCAGCAGGCTATGTTGCTTCCACACGAGTGATTGTCCTGGTGGATGATGCAGAAATTTGGAGACTTGATGATGAGTCTGCTACACTAATGAGCTTGCAATAAGTCTTAACTAGCAAAATTAGTTCTTATACTCGTTGTGGCATTTAATTGGTTTTTGTTCCATCACTTGATTTTAAAATCTTTCCTTCTGTGTCAGGTACTGAGGATCCCTTTTATGCCAGGTTTATAAAGAGCTCGACACTTTTGGTCTCTCTCCGTCTGCTTTAAGCCGTGTTCCTGCATTCCTTTACCCGACATGAAGATGGCAGCAATTATTTGTCTGCCGTATCAGGTTCATTGTTAATACAATGTTATTTGTCGAATCTTGACAGGATTCATGCTCATGCTATGTTAGCTTATGTGTCTATAATCTAGTCATGAAGTGAGTGATAGGTAATTAACATTTACAGTTTTTGTGGGGGCATCATTCATGGTGGAGAACCGTAGGGTTCTTGCTTAATCTTTGAAATCAAGAAAAGGCCAAATCCTTGTTTCCTGTGTGCTTGAACCTTGAAAACCCAGCTTCCAAGATGCGTGGCTAATCCACGAAGCAACCTTTCATGATTTGTTTTTTTACTTTGGATACAAGGGGTCCTATAGTAGAGTGTACTTTTAATTGTTTCCATAAGAATATTTCAAACATCACAGCTGCATGAGAAGACTAAGATTTTTCCTTTAAATTTGACTAAAGAGCAAATGCACTCTTCGTGTGGTTACAGAGGTGGCCTTACTTCAATTGATGGCTATTTCCTTTCTGTGTAGACCGCGTTCCCATGGTTTGGTTGGCAAACAAGGTCATGATATTTGGGCCGTGTAAAAAAGACAAGGTTGCTTAATATTACTTGACTAAGAAAAAGCTCACGAGAAAAAAGGATGCTAAATACACTTTGTGTTTTCGGCCCCCAGGATATCTTGTTGGGTCAGTAGTTAAGCTATTTTTTAGTTGGGCCCGGGTTAGTTTTTTTTTTTTTTTAAAAAAATTGATCTCAAATGATTCGTTAAATTATCATTCTGTCAAAATTTAATTTGATTTATTTTTTATTTCTAAAAAAGCAATGTCAGTTTTGATTGATCCGATCTAACTTAGTTAGCTCTAAGTAATGGATGTTGGATTTAATGATCCTGGTTGAATTGATCAAAGAAAATCTTCAACTAAAATATCATACTAAAGATACATATATAAGAAATGAATATCATTTAAATGGATGTGAATTTAACTTGCATTAAATTACCTTCCAAAAGCATGCTGTGGTAAGTAATTATTATCGATCATGTTTCCGCGCTAAATGCTCACTATATCTTGTCTCAATCTCTATATTTTTTATTTTTTTTTATTTTTGATTTACGTGGGATGTCCGGGCCAGCTTGTGTGCACCATGACTAATCCCCACGGCCCACTGAATATCCTGCAAACCCAGTAGGTATGTAAAGCACCGCAGGGGTGACAGACATGCACACTAGGACGGCACTGCAGGGATGACAGACGTGCATACTAGGACTTGAATCCAGGTACAGTAAAAGGAGATAAGCTCTTGCCACCGCCAGGCCAATCTCTATATTTTTACTTGGAGTGATGCTGGTGATGGTGACAGTGCCCTCCACGCATGGGAAACATTCAAAGGATGAGGTAACGTGTCACGCATGCAATTCTTTTATGTAATGGATCAGGAGGGTTTGATAAGGTTAATCCAAGATGATCTCTTCAACCTTTTCTTTTAAAAATTAAAGGATATTATTTTGATTAAAAATTCTATCAAGAATAATTAATAAGTTTTTTCATTTTTTTTTTAACATATGCGGTTAAGGTCTTCAGCCAGGAGGCTGATTTTACGAGGAAGAATTGTATTGATGTTGGTTATGATTGTTGTTTTTTAATATATTGTTTTGTTTAGCAAATGAGCAGCTAGCCGTGCTGTCAAACAGGTTCTAAAGCTCAAAGGGGTAAGGCAATGTGTCACGCATGCAATTCTTTTGCCCTTTTTTTCTATTTGTTTTTTCCCTTGTTAAATCCAACTTACGTTAGGTTGACTCAAATGATTCAGGATTTAAAATTTGGTTGCTTTAAATTCTTAATTAAATTGAATAAGATATTAACTTTGATAAAACTTATTTAATTTAATTGCCTTCATTAAATATAATTGAGTTAATATTTAAAAATAAATTATTATTATTATTATTATTAAAGTAATTGACTTGGATGGATTTTATTATGTATTGATAAATAGACCCTTTCACATGCCTGCGATTTATTCCTCCCTTTCGCACCATGTTTATATCCCATAGTTCTTCCCTCTGAGACCTGACATCACAGCGGCTGCCGCATGCTGCAATTACTTGTTAGTTGGTGGCCTTGCTTTTAAGAATATATATATATATATAGAACTTGTTGGTGTATATATATAAATATAATTTTAGCATTTTAACATGAATACTTATTGTTGATGGTGGGATTCTATATAAAAAGGTAGATTTTCTTTTTGTTATAAATGAAGGTTTTTGAGAGAATAAAACACTTTATTTATCTATTTAAATTTATCATCTTTATTTTATTTTTAATTAAAATTAGTTAATATTATAAATCATATAGTGACACCTCACTAGTTTAAAATTTTCTACAGTTGAGATAGTTTTTAAATTATATATTCGAATCTTTTTTTTTTGGTTAATTCAATCACAAAATTATTAACATGAAAGCTTGCGTATGGAAGGTTTTAGGGCCCAAATAATGCCTATTCTAGATAGTTTCCATGGTTTTAAAGCAAACCAAAAGGCTAGGCTTAAATATGGGTTTGATTGGCCAACTTTCATGGGCTATTAGCTCAACGCACAGATGCGGACCATCGACGTACAGTCACTGTCTCCCAAAATTATTATCGTTTTGTTTTTGTTCTCAAAAATCTTAAAATAAAATATAATTTTTTTCCTTTCAAAAAAATATAGAAACCAACTATTTTGTAAGATTCTCAAAAAGTAAAGTGTCCCAAAAACTTCTGATAATAGTTGGTTTTATTTTTTTCATTAAAAAGAATCCATTACAAACCATTTTTATGTTTTTGTTTCCAAAAAACATAAATAAATAAATAATACCAGATAACCCCGAGAAAATAATACTTGTTCAATTAACTCACTTTAAAATATTCTTATCATTCTATATATATCCGTTTATCTCTTCAAAATGGATTCGTAAAAATTCTAAGATTTTATCATCTCCATTTAGCCGCCAAGCAGGTATGCTATTAACCAATGTTCTGTATGCTATATACTATATATATATAAAATACAAATTGAACAAGAACACTCACAATTTCCTCTTTCTAATATTCTGTCAAAGATGCATCAAGAAAATTGACAGAAACAAGATGCAAATTCTCCTTGGTTGATCCACCAATTGGTTTATTTCTGCCTTGTTCCATCTGTTCGTACATGCACAAACACAATGTTTTTGTACCCTCGACTGATTCTGATTTTATCATCACTATATCTGCAACAACATGTATACCGTCTCCTGTTATTGGTCAGCGGAGAAAACCATCATGGGATCATGCAATTTGATAGTATCTAAGACCAGAAATCTTACAGCAACTCTAGGTTAATCTTGGTTTCCATCTCCACAGGGAGTCCAAACATGCCACCAATGATGGCTGCATCATCCATTTTAACATCATATGTATTGGGACTTGATTTCCTGCCAATAGTTTGTGCCATATCAGTTTTACTTGCAATTCTTCTCTGTAGATCCCCACAAAGTGCTGAGAGACTTACACAAATGTTCCCGTCATGGAGAACCTGACACCGAGCAAGATGTCCACGACGAACTTTAACTGTCCGTTCTTTGTGACAATCTGAAATGGCGGGAGTAGAGGGTGAGGGAGTTAGGATGTGATTTGTAAAGAAGATTTGAGCATGCAGAAAGATTTAACATGAAGAAGAATATTGACATCCTTTGTGATTACCTGCTTTCCCATTAGACCTCTGCCAGCATTCTCTATCCAACTATCTGTCTCCATCTGCATCATAAAAATTGCTATTTGGATCTAGGTAAAGTAGAACTGACAGAAAAAAATCATATTAATAGCTAATTAGGAATCAGTGACAAGTAAAAAATTTAAATTTAATATCTGAATGCCTTATAAGAAGAACGTTGCTTGAATTTGAGTGATTCAATAATAGATTATCAACATCCTTTTAGTACCATCTAGAGACATTAATCAAGGCGATGATGTCCATGTCAAAAAAATAATCCCAAAATTTAAGTTATTAAATAAAGTTTCAAAAATAGTGTTATATTATTTTTTGATATACTCTATCAAGTAAAATTTCTTGAACTTGAAATTTACACGAACTTACCGCTACTTTCTACTCAATTTTTATAATTTAATTAGATAGAATGTGGTGGTGAGATTTTAATCATTAAGGTTTGGATATTCTATCTAAAAACCATTTCAATTTAAAAACTTAAGCTATTAGATAATACTATACAAGTAATTTTATATTACTTTCTACCAGTATCTAGGCAATTCAAGTTTCTTTAAATAAATAAATCTATGCAAACATCATCACACAATCAATCACCTGTGAACTCCATATCATCTGCCACTCTCCATCGATGAGTTCCATTTCATCTTTAGCAACATTCTGATTTAACTTTATAAATTCATTGATTGCCTGCAAAGGTTATAACTCTGTAATTAGCAACGTGGAGCTATATTAGCTAACAAAGCACGTCCTCCAACAGGGTCTAGAAAGACGATTGTAATTTTACCTCTAGAACTCCGGTTCCTGTCCCAATTGCTGACAGCAATCTTTGTCTAGGTTCAGTTTTCTTCTGGAGCACAAAGGTGGTGCCCTGCACTACAGAAACATTGCTTGATGACTTCAGCAAATGAAACCAAAAGAAAACTGCTGAACCAATATCATTAGTACCTACCACCCACCAATAGAGAAGGCAACAGCATATACACTGAATTTAGGATGCTCAAGATCATGTAGTTCTTATATACCTTATTTCCTCTCGAGATGCGAAGGTTTCCAGATGGAGACAAGTATGTGGTGTCCAGCCAGCCCTTTGCCTCATCACCAAGAAGCCTAAATGGCACTGGATATGGAACCTTAAATGGTAAAAAATTGAAAGAAAAGGCTGCTCTGTCAAACTGGAAAAGGATCCTCTTTCCATTTTCAATTGTTGCTGCTGCCTGAGAGAAAAATGAAATGTGCATGGGGTAAGAGACAGAGGAGTGGGTCATTCATAACAAAGCTTGAAACATGAACTTCAGATGCATGGAAGTTGGGCCTATAACCTCTACATTGTTCACTATATGCATCATTTAAAAGAGAAAAATACTTGGTCAAAGCATTTTTGCATGGCTCTGAAGATGCATGTGCTTGTCAGATACTTCTTAAGGTTGAAGGAAAAAGCATTGCATCTATGCTGATTGTCCTAGTCCCTCCTTCTATTCTTAGGCCATGCTTTCTAAAATGAAAAGATGACTCGAGTGCAATGACTTGATGGGCTCGGGCTGACTGGCTCGTCCCTCACATCGCTTAATCGAGGTGGCTAATGGTGTTTGATGAGACTTTTCTGGTGGAAAAGGTTGTAACTTCCTAGAAAAGATAGTGGATTCATACCTCTACTTTCAGCTCGCCTATAGCATTTGAGAATCTTACAATGTTGGACACACGA